GAAACTTGAGGAAGAAGAAACCAAAATTACTGGACAGAAAGTCGTTCCGCCTTTGAGGCTGAAGAAAATTCAAAGTTTGCAAGCAAACGTTTCAGAATATCAGCCTAATAATGATGAAGAACGTGTTAACCAAATTATCGAGCGAGAGCGTCAAGAGTGTATGCCTAAATTTCGATATTATCAGCCAAAACCCCCGGAAGTTCCGATAGTACCAGGTTTGTGTTTTATAAATAATAAATATTTTTTTTTTTTTTTTTATTTGATTGCTAGATAATATCGTCACGCGTGGTGGTAATATGTGCGTATACTGAGAAATAAATATTTTTATTGATTTTAGACACTAGGCCAACCAGCAAGGAACACGCCACCAACTACCGTATTGTCACTGGACAAACTCCACCCTACGACGAGCGTATTGACTCATCCACTATGCCGAGTAAAGATTTACAGGGGTTACTTTTTCGTAAAAATAACCACAATTTTAAGACAGATAAGCTGAAGCAAGTTAATTCGCCTTCTAAATTTGATAAGGCAGCTTTTGACTCTTGTGTTAAGCAGATTAAAAAGCTGACAAATTTACTGGAAATGCTACCTGAAGTTTCACCAGAAGCTGCTAAAGATAATGTTGAAAATACCGTTCAAATAATGAATAGTGTGAAAACAAATGATTTACCGAATTTAAATGCTTCACCGCCGTCGTCGACGACTTTTACAGATCTTCTGCCTTCTCTGAATAATTCCCCGTCGCCGGAACCGCCAAAGTTATCACCTAAGACTTCGGTGGACTTTGAAGCTACGGAAGAAAGAAATAGCCCGCCATTGTTGCCAAGAGCGACTTCGAGTAATGGAGAAAATTACGATGATTGGGAAGGAAGTGGGTATCATAAACAGATTAATAGTAATTATAATGATAATGAATCTGAGTTTAATTCCTCGGTTAATTCTTCAATTATCACCACAACTACTGGAAGTATTGTTACTGAACAGATAGACATTGATGATAAGCCAGAGTATTTAGATTTATCGACGAATCTTACTAAAAGTGAGACATTTGTTGATGCGGTGAGTAATAAAATTACTAAAGAGTTGAGTAGAATAGAAGTGGACTGTGATACTGAGCAAGTATTGAAAATAGATCTAAGGAATTCTTTGAGACCGGAGAACATGGTGATCGACACGACGAGCTTGTCCAAGTACGAGAAGGAAAGCGACGCTGAATATTCACCGGAAAATAGATTAAGGATAGACGAGTCTGAGGAACTGCAGGAGGTTCAGCACAAAGAACCTGTTGGTGGTGCGACAATTAAAGTAGTTGATAATTTAACTTCAGCTGCAGCTGCTGCGAGAACTGCCGTTGCAACAGCTGCGATAACTTCTTCTTGTGATATTTTTAATAACCAACCAAGCAAGGGTAAGTCGAAGCTCAAGGACAGGCGAGTTGCCGAGTCGCCTAAAAGTAATATTATTATTAACGAACAACAATTTCCGTCGTTTGGTAACTGGGTTGCTAAAATATCTACCAAGCTTCCGAACCATCAGCTTTCACGCCTGATTACTGACAAGAATACTCGTCCTAATTCAGCGATTAGTGTTACCAATGAAGTTCCTTCGTTTAGTCACTACTATCACTATTACCCCCAGCTTCAGCAGCATCAGGAGGCTGCTAAGATCCCTGCTAGTCCTGGCTTGAAGCATAAAAATGGATTGGAGGCTAGTAGCAAGACTTTAACTGCGGAACCACAGTTGAAAAATCAGACTTGGGAACCCGCGGAGCAACCGAGTCAGTCCCAATTGCTGCAGAGTAATTCAACGAGTAATATTTCTACGTCGTTGCTGGAAACTCAGTTGCAGCAAAAGCCTCAACAAATAGATCCTCAACTTTATCCGTCTGCTCAAATGAATAAGCTTCTTGCTCGCAATTACTCGGTAAGTTTTTTTTTATTAAATAAAGGAAGTTAATTATATTTATTGTTAGTAATTGGGGGAGAATTATACTCGCAGATCGATTGGGGTTGTAGATTTAATTATGTAATTGGTGGTATAAATACATTGTGTGTAATGACTGTTGATTGAATCCCGGAAAAAATTTTAAAGTTATGAAAAATTCATATTATTTCATTGCAATGAAATAATATGAATTTTTCATAACTTAAAAATTTTTTTCAGATCTATTTTTTCCGGTTACCCTGTTGATTCGCACTAATTTAATGCCAACAGAAATTAGTTCAATGAAAATTTACCCGAGTAAATTTTTTGGGTTTATTGAGAGATTTTTTACGCACTTGGAATTAAAAACAATTTTTTTTGGTAAATATTTACAAGTGGGGTCAACCATTTAAATTTTTATTTTTTTGAACGAAATTTCTATTTGATTTTATTTATTTATTTATTTATTATTTGAATTTAATACCAAGGCAGTATAGCCAAATGACAAAAGTATACAAAAACAAATATAATGAAGTTCACGTATGAATAATAAAGATATAAAATTTCAAAATTTTAGATATTAAGAAAAAATCGTTTTCCTTAAATTTGGAATGTAGTTTATGATAAATACAAGAAAAGTATAAATTTAAATATAAAATTAAAAAAAATAAAGAGTTAAACTCAATGGTGCAAAATACAAAAAAAGATGATAATTTAAGATGATAAACTCGTGTAATAAAAATGTGTGAATGAATATCAGTGGTTTAAAATTAAGATTCATTGTCTCCTTCAAGCTTCATAAAGAATTCAAAAGCACTAGTCTTAAATGTAATTAAGCTAAGTGAATTTGTGATTTCAATTGGTAATTCTCTCTAAATTGGCATCGCAGAAACTATATATATATATATTTTTTTTTTAAATACATAAAAAAATAAATAACTAAAAAAAAAGTTGATTTATCACAATTTTAAAAAATTTTCAGAAAAAATTTATAAATTTTTTAGAAAATTGTGATATTCAACTTTTTTTTTAATTGTTCGGTTTTTTATGTACTTTTCAAAAAAAAATATCAAAAAAAGATAAAATAGAAATTTTATCCAAAAACATGAGAACCAAAATTTTTTCCAACTTTTGAAGGCAAAAAAGCAGCAGAATAAAAACAAGCAGAATCAAAAAAAAATTGAAAATGTTAATTTTTCACTTAGTTATGGTTCAAAATGGAGTCGACCCCACTTTTAAATAATTACCAGGAAATTTTTTTCAAAACTGTCTTTTCAAAGTCAGTGAGTAAGATTTATCAAAAATGGTTGATAAATCAGTTTTATTTTTACATAATTTTCTTGAGTATATTTTCCAGTAATTAATTAAAAGATTGAAAATTCTAATAAATATTTTATATTTTTATAAATAATTTACGACTAAATTTTAATTCAAAAATAGATAATTTGTAAAACCACTATTTTATATATTTTATTAAAAAAATATATTTTGATAATTGGATTAATCACTAAATTATCTTGATCTAATAAAATTTTTAGGGATTTTGAATAAACATCGCAAGATATCTTTTTATAGAAGACCTCCCGTAGCTCATCTGCAGTATCTAAAAAAATAACTTACTAATACAAAGTAATTCAAAGTCACGATTATATTTATATCCATCTTGATATTAATCAATTAACAATCCCCTTTAGAAAAAACCAATATAACATTGCTTTTATTAGCCTTATAATTGCATTTAACTCCTTAATCAATTTGTAAATTAGCTAAAAATAATCTAAATTGAATCGATCATCCTTATCAATCAACATCAATCTAATGACACAATAAATGTAATAACTTAAATAACATTTATTAATATTATTTCAGGTTGATCCTTATAGAGTGCCACTTCTCCGTCCAACGAGTCAATTACCGGACCCGCTGTCAACGAATTCAATCCCCTATCATTCAAGTGCATCTCCACTGCTGAACTCTCTGTCAATGTCACCGAGCTCACCACTCTCTTACTGGCACCAAACGATCGGAAAAACGCACCCTGAGTCAAAGCGTGGCTTCACAGACATTCCACTAAACTACGACCCGATCTCGCTAGCAAAAAGATCCGCTTACTCTCAGTACCATTCTCTCCTACCCACAGTACCAATCAACCTGATGAACCCGTCATATCAAATCCCGCAGCAACGACAGCAGCAGCCACAACAGCACCCGTCGCCCTACGACAGACTGTGGGACAAATCAGGGCACTGTTTGCGGCCTCCTGATTCGCCAATACCTGCTTTGAACTACTCGCCTTGGCAGAGTGCTCTTTTTCCACCAGAAAGTCTCCTGCCAGGAAGAAGCTACCTGAACAGCAATTGGACCGCAGATCCTCGCAATCTTCTGTCGACAATTACCCCAGCGATGCAAAACTTTGCGTCGCCTTATCAGTCAATAAGCGTGCCAAGGGTTAGGAACATCAAAGACCGCCCTGAGCAGGTCAGGAATTGCGAGACTCCGCACTTGGGAAAAGTTGATTACAGCCCAAACACGGCCAGGACATTTCAGTGCTCTAATTGCGGATCTCGCGGGCCTGTTTATAAGTGTCTAGGGTGTGAAGCCGCTTATTACTGCAATGAAACTTGCCAAGCCCGACACTGGAACTGTCATGTGGCAACTTGTCCTAAAAAAATGCCCAAACTTAAGAAAGTTGTGCCTTAAATATATAATACAATAATTATTGTGCCTTATTATTCCTAAATATATATTTATAATTCGTGTTAAATAACTTTTATATGTGATTTGCTATTTAATTATAATTATCATTTTATTATATTTATAAATAATTAAAAAATGGTTTGTGCCAGCAATATTTATAGTGTACAAATATAATTATTTTTTAATGATACGCTTAATCGAATGTAAGATCTTTTATTTGCTGTGACAGTGAAACTTTTAATTAAACTATCGCTCAATCTATTATTTTTTTTACAAGTATATTTTTACTGTTGATTTATTTTACTGATCATTTAATTGTACGAGAGTGAATAAAGAAAATAAGTATTTTTACCAATAAAACAAATTATTTATTATTACTATCTGTCTCTAATTTGTCTCAGCATGTAAGCCAATTTAGGGTCAACATTATCGGCGTTGATAAGTCTTTTTTCTAGAGCTTCAAAGTCGGCCTTCTCTAGCCAGACAGGAGGATCCAATTCTTTGGGAGAAAGCGGCGATAAAAGTCTCTCAGAAGCTGCGCAAATTCCACACCATCTTCTAAAACTCAGTGGTTCTGTAATCTCGCCAAATATTTCTTTTAATTGATCTATCTTTTCGTCGGTCAAACAACTGCCCATTACTTCACGCAGAGCTTCTAAAAAATCATTAGGTGAAATACATCGCGTTTCATCTAAACTGTCTTCGTAGTATTTGTTAAACGTTCGACCAAAAATAAGTTTTCTTCCCGGTGTTATGAAAACATGTTTTTCTAAATAGTCTAGCGGTTTTATCGATGATAAGCTGCCGCTATTTAGAAGTTCAAAACGAGCGCTTTGGCGTGAAAATACTCGCGGGGCACTGGTTGCTAGTCGTTGGAGATGAGGTTGACGAGAAGATGATTTAATAATTTGATTTGTTTCTTCTTTCATTTTCAAAGCTTCTTCTAGCGCTATTTTTCTCTGTAAAATATTAACTTTATATTTATATTCTAAAAAAATGGTAAATATTTACAAGTGAGGTCAACGATTTCAATGTTAATATTTATGAGCGAAATTTTTATTTGATTTTATTATTAAAAAAATTTTATAAATTTCGTGAAGTTATATGTAATTATTTTTTTTTTTTTTATAACATGTAAATATATAAAATTCCAAATGATTTTTAAAACTTAATGAAAATTTAATAATTTTTATAAAACTTTATGCAATTAATATTAAAAACATGATACTGGAATCAACAGACACTTCACAATTTTTTAGATTTTTACAACAATTAAATTATTATGAGAAAAATTTAGTAAAAAAATTCCACATGTAGAAATTAAAAAAAAAACTATGATAAATATTTACAAGTGGTACAAGTAAATATTTGTTTTTTTGAAAAATACATAAAAAAATGAACAATTAAAAAAAAAAAAAAAAAGTTGATTATCACAATTTTAACAAATTTTCAACTTTTTTTTTTTAAATTGTTTGTTTTTTTATGTACTTTAAAAAAAAATTTATAAAAAACATCAAAAAAAGATAAAATAGAAATTTTGGCCACAAACATGAGAGCCAAAACTGTTTCCAACTTTCAAAGATGATTTTTTAATTGAAATATTAATTTTTTGATATTTTCGATATCACCACCATATATCCGCCGTAAGAACAAAAAAGTTGAAAAAAAATTATGATGATCCATCAATTGATCTATTTTTTATGACCAAAAATAGGTTCGACCCCACTTGTAAATAATTACCAAAAAAATTTATTTAATTAGGGTAAAAGTACCGTTTGTGGCCAGTGTTCCTTTTTTGGCCACTTTATTTTCAAATTATTATATAAATATTTTTATAAGTCCAAAGACTCTATGAATCCTAATTTGTATAAATGTACTAATTCATAAATTCTATAAAAAATCTACTTGAATAGTTAAATTTTTTACAAATTCATCAAAATATCAAGTGGCCAAAAATGGTCCTAAGATGGCCAAAACCGGTACTTCTACCCTATTTCTCATTAAAAACCTTTAAAGAAAATTCTTCTTCAACAGTTTCTCGATTTATTTCTCTAGCAAGATGTTTGAGTATTTCTGGACTGATAAAACTACAAAAGACTGGCTGAGTCGGTAAAGATGTAGGAATTTTCTCAGCAACATTCTCGACTTCAACGTTGCCATGCGGAGTCAATGAACTATTTCTTCTTGAAGTATCATCTACCTGCGACACCTGAGTTTCAGCAGGCTCCAAAGGGTCTCTGACTTCATTCTGCTGGCCATAGGCTGAACCTCGCCTGCACCTGCGTTTCTTCAGACGTTTTCCACGTCGTCTGATCGGAACTTCATTATCACTATCGCTTCTGTCGTCTTCTTCTTCATTCCTCGATGACTCTTGCAGCTAAAAGCATAATCAAAAACTAGTAACCTTGCAGTCACTATGTGACTGCCGTGACTTGTGAACTATAAATAAATAAAATTTTGTTTTATTAAATAATGACTTTTGTTAAATTGCACTGTACTTTCTTAAATATTGACGTTTTTAAAGATATAAGCTCATCCCGATGTTACACTCATCAAGAGCTTTCATTTGAGTGGCCACATGCATTTTCATATATTTTTCATATATACATATATATAATATATATAAATATATGAAAAATTGATGTGGGTACTCAAATGAAAGGTCTCGATGAGTGTAATGTCGGGGTGAGCTTATATCTTTAAAAATATAAACAGTTCACAAGATACGTCATTTCTTAATTATATTAAATTGCATTATACTTTCTTAAATATTGACATTTTTAAAGATATAAGCTCATCCCGATGTTACACTCATCAAGAGCTTTCATTTGAGTACCCACATCAATTTTTCATATATTTTTCATATATGCATATATTTATAATATATATAAATATATAAAATATATGAAAAATTGATGTGGGTACTCAAATAAAAGGTCTCGATTAATGTATCATCGGGATGAGCTTATATCTTTAAAAATGTCAATAGTTTACAAAATACAAGGTCATTTAATAATATAGATGACTAACATCTCTAATTATCTATCCTTCAGGATCAAACCAACAAATTACCTCATCACTGGTCTGAACCGGCGGAAGAATTGCCCGAGATTGATGGCGATGTTGAACAGGTGATTTTAGATACTCATTAGCTCGCTTGGGACTCGGCGGGGGTTCAAGAGTCAAAGCGTGCCAACTCAAAGTCTCATCTTGCTCCTGGGAGGCAGTTCTCAGGTCTAATATCAACGTAGTCCGCTCACGGGGATTACAAGGAACAAGATTGTCCGGGTGGTTCTGATGCGCAGTCAGTGGCCCGCTGGCCAGCGTTGGGGTAGGTGTCAACGGTCTTGAATCCGTCTCGGTGTATTTACGGAACAGTTCTTCAGGAACGGCGGTCGATGTATGGATATTGATGCCGTCATTGACCTCTCCGGAGTCTATAATACCACCAGCTATAAGCGTAGCTCGAATCATTTCCATTTCGGCTGGTAAAAGTAGCGCTTTCCCTTCCATAGCCCATGATTCTTTAGCGCGTCTAATAAATTCTTTGGCTTCACAATCCGCTGGGTGATTGCACAACACCGAACACCCGTACGGAAAAGGATTAAAAAGTCCAGCGAACGGGCGTATTGTAAATGGCGCGGGCTTGGCTATACTCAGCAACTCCAATTTCTGGGAAATAAAGAAAAAAAATAAACTAAATATAGACACTAACTTACCATAAGCTTCCTTATTGATTTTCATAGCTCAATACTTTAGATTTTGTTCTATAGACTGGAGTTACACGGGCTGCTATAAGTCCAGTGTTGCTTGATATTCCCGACATTATTTCTAGTTAAATTATTTTCTTATTCTGCTTCATTTGAATAGCGAAATTGCTGCATTCATTCGCCGGTTTATCAGCTACTGAATTCCTATACTTGGGTAGACAACTGTAGATTGTAGATGCTGAAAAGAAAGCGGGTTGCCACGGTGCGATGGGTCGATTAATCCCTCCAATGTTGGTTTAGAAAATCACGGCCAGTACCTCCGGGTTATTCTTATGACAATACATTGTACATGTCAGATTCTGGTTGTAATGTCATCCGCAATTCAGTAAATATAATCCAATAATTATATCTTGTTACTAGAACTCTTACACAGAAAAAGAAGTTCACTTGACCCAAGAAAATATTCTTCCTAATTATTTTCTTGAGAAAAAAAAATTTTTTTTTGACAAGAAATTTCACTTATTCTAAAAATTAATTCTCTTGCTTTAAGAAATACGTATCTTGATCCAAGAAAATTTATTCAAGTCAAGAAAATCTTGTTTTGAGAAAATTCAACCTCTTGCTCCAAAAAATTTAGTTCTTGATAGAAGTAAATTTTCTTGTCTTGAGAAAATTTCTCTCTTGCTCCAAAAAATTAAATATAAAAATAGAAGTAAATTTTCATTAATATTTTTATTGATTAACGTGTCAAATGGGAAGATCAAATAATATTTCATCATTTTTTTTTCATTCAATATGTATAATTGCACGCTAAAATAATATAAAATGGGTATCAAATATTCAAGAGAAAAATTTTCTCAAGATCAGAAAATTTTTTTCTCAGCTGAAGTAAGTGGTGCTGCTTCCCTAAAGTATCTAAAAGTTTTGATAAAATATAAAAATTTATTGTATCAAGTATCTATTATAATTTGAATTAAAAAAAAATTACTTCCACCAAGAATGGAATTTCAAGAAAAATTTTTACTTCGGTCTTCCTTCAAGCACCCGAAAATTTTCTTGAGCCAAGAATTTTGTTCTCCAGTTAAGAAATTTTTCTTTTTGTGTACATCCAATTTTAATACGCAGATAGTTTTTCAACAAAAGAATTTAAATAAAACAAAATTCTTTTATAAAATATTTCAACCAATTCATTCACACTGAAAATAATTAAACAGAAATTGATTATTAATTCACTTTATTACATACTTGTTTATCAACAAATCGAATGTATCATATAAGTGAGAATAAAAAAATTTTAATAAAATTTTCATGACCAAGGACTGTCAAGTATGAGACTAGGGTACTTCTTTTTATATTTGAGACCAGTGACAAGAGTTGAACTCTTAGGAAATGCTGTTTTTCCGCCAAATTTAGTGTCAGTTTCTGGATTGAACCTGTTGTATTCGTACTGAATGTGAAGATTAGGCGGCAACTCTAAGTCTTTAGTTGCTTCTAGCGGCAGAGTTGTGTTTATTGGAGTGTGGTAAAAGTTCCTCAAGTCTCCTGCAATATATAAAATATTATTATCATTTGTAATTATAAATTTAACACGTTTTGGTCTTACCTATAGTTCGTATAGTAAACATCACTGAATTAGGAATATGACACTTGAATTCATTAGCACAAGCGCTAAATAACTTGAATCTCAGATTTAGATCTTTTATCTCTGTTGAGTCATTCTCTGACAGGCCTTCGGCCTTGCAAATTTTGTCCAGCTTCTCTGAGGCATCTGCTGGTGGCTCATAAGGCTTCAGTGGCCGAAGGAATCTGAAAATTAATTTTTATATAATATAAAACTAATAAATTACTAAAGTTTCTGATTGTATTGATAAGTTGGAAGTTTGATGTCTTTCTTCCCATAAATCAATACTGCTTTTTAAAATTATTAAATACTACTAGTAACCTTGCAGTCACTATGTGACTGCCGTGTACTTGTGAACTATAAATAAATAAAATTTTGCTTTATTAAATAATGACTTTTGTTAAATCGCATTGTACTTTTTTAACTATTGATGTTTTTAAAGATATAAGCTCATCCCGATGTTACATTCATCAAGAGCTTTTATTTGAGTACCCACATGCATTTTCATATATTTTTCATATATACATATATATAATATATATAAATATATGAAAAATTGATGTGGGTACTCAAATGGAAGGTCTCGATGAGTGTAACATCGGAATGAGCTTATATCTTTAAAAATGTCAACATTTCACAAGAAACAAGGTCATTTCTTAATTATATTAAATTGCTCTGTACTTTCTTAAATATTGACGTTTTTAAAGATATAAGCTCATCCTGATGTTACACTCGTCAAGAGCTTTCATTTGAGTACCCACATGCATTTTGAAAAATGCATGTGGGTATTCAAATGAAAGGTCTCGATGAGTGTAACATCGGAATGAGCTTATATCTTTTAAAAATGTCAACATTTACACTAAGTAAACAAGGTTCATTTCTTAATTATATTAAATTGCTCTGTACTTTCTTAAATATTGACGTTTTTAAAGATATAAGCTCATCCTGATGTTACACTCGTCAAGAGCTTTCATTTGAGTACCCACATGCATTTTGATATATTTTTTATATATACATATATATAACATATATAAATAAATGAAAAATTGATGTGGGTACTCTAATGAAAGGTCTCGATGAGCGTAATTTCGGAGTGATCTTATATCTTTAAAAATGTCAACATTTCACAAGATACAAGGTTATTTCTTAATTATATTAAATTGCTCTGTACTTTCTTAAATATTGACGTTTTTAAAGATATAAGATCATTCCGACGTTAGACTCATCAAGAGCTTTCATTTGAGTACCCACATGCATTTTGATATATACATATATATAAATATATAAAATATATGAAAAATTGATGTGGGTACTTAAATGAAAGGTCTTGATGAGTATAACATCAAGATGAGCTTATATCTTTAAAAATGTCATTAGTTCACAAGATACAAGGTCATTTCTTAATTATGTATCTAAAGATAGAGCATTTTCGAATGCAGCCTAAATATTTATCATCATAAATTGACTATCGCTGAGAATGATATGAAACCTTGAAAAGGCACAAATTCAAGTCAAGACTTTTGCAATGACATTAAAATTCACTTAAAAACCCGATTTTACCATATGACTATCCTGGAAAAAAATTTTTCTTATTCTCTTAAGAATATAGAAGATAAAAAATAATAAGAAGAGCTCGGCTAGTTTTATTTGAGGACAATCGAAGTAAAGGGGCAAGTAAAAGAGAAAATCATTCCAGAGATCGATCTGTTTAATAGAAAATATTTAGTAGTGTAATAGGCAGTGCTGCCCTCCCCATAATATTAACTATTTCTTAGAAACTACTGTTATTATTACTCCACTATAATTGTCAAATCCAATTCATGTTACGTTGAGCCAAGTTACCATGTGCGATTGGTTACAATCTGTTGCATAAAATATAAAAAATTACTATTTAATGTTTGTGGCTTTATAAAGATATTGCGTGCAAAATTGATATTGTAATTTAATAAATAGTTGTAAAGTCTCAAGGACTGACAGTGACGACAGGAGTATGAAGAATAAATCATGAGAAATATTTAATGAAATTACACCTTTTGAAAAAAAAAAAAAAAAAAAAACAAAAAAAAAAAAAAATAGTGTAGAAAAGACAGTGTACAAGATTGTCAATATTTTTTTGTTCACGCTGGTCTGTCTACGGTTAACACTAACATCCCCGCCCCTGAAATATCAAAGCTTCTGCGTATAAGTGCTAAAAGTCAACGGGGAAGAATTTGGAGGGGGTGGCACTTCAAAATGGCCGAGGTTTTCGCAGTCCGAGTTCGAACAAGTTAAAACGTCGGTTCGACATATCTGAAAGTAAACTCCTGTAAAACCTATAATTGAAGCCCTAAAATATTAATTGATATTAAATTAATATAAAATATATTAAATAATAATTTTAAAATAAACTTACCCTCGTGTTGAAAGTGACTTTTCACTCCACTCCCATTTTCCTTTGATCGTTGATTGTTTTTGTTTTTGCTTGGCCCTGTTAGCTTTACATCTTACGACATCGTGACGTACTGGCGCCTTCAGTCATAATAATCATTATTACAATTGTGTTAGTGACAGTGAACATATAAAATATATTAATTAATTAAAATTTAAATATACATATAATATAGGTATATTGATTTGATAAATTAAATATAAAGTTTAACATTAAAAAAAAAAAAAAAAAAAATAAATAAATAAATAAATGATAGTGTCAACAATAAAAATAAATAATTATTGTTGATAAATAATAATAAGTGTATAAATATGTAAATAATAACAAACCTTTATTAAAGAGAGTAATGAATTTTTAGCCGAATGCGGAGAAATGAGAGAGCCATGCCTGATGAGAGCCGCCATGTTGAGGATATTTTTTATTTATATGGGTTCATCAGCAGAATCACCAGCAAGTGCAGTGATAGTAGTTCCAGTTAATTAAACAAGTGGTTTAATATATTTATAAAATAAAATAACTGTAAGGATAACAATAGATTAATAATAAAAATAATAATTGGTGGGAAGTGAGTATCAGAATGAAAATTATCGTTAAGTTTTAAGTAGAGTGTGTTTAAGTTATGATCGTTTAAGGTTTTAGCATTGCATTGTGTAGCTGGCGCTGTGATAGTATCACTAGTTAGTGGCTGGCCTCCCGTCTGTGTCTGGTATTGCTTGTTGTGCTCAGTGCAGTCCGCCATTTTACAGTCGCCATTGAAAGGTGAAAATCCAATTAAATGTTGGTGATAAATACTATTGTGGTGGACAAATAATTAGTCCTCTAGTTAAGTTCACCAGGGTGTTGTCCTGGGCTTACTGAGGAGTTTGACAACAGTGATAAAAGAGAGTGTACGATGGAGAAGCCATGACGCACCCGTCGCATCAGACTAACGGAGCCAGCTTGGAGGATTGCCACACGAATTTCTTCGCACTGGTGAGTACTCCAGTGTTATTTTTTACTCCGACAATTAGTTTTTAAAACGACAAGTTAGTATTCATCAGCTTATGTCATTTGATCCTATTATTAAATCCAACCTTTTATCATTTTTATGATACCTTTTTACAGATATTACCCGGGTGTATTATTTTATACCTATATACCATATTTATTAATCTAATACACTTGTATTATTTAATATCTATATGTCTGTCTATTGCCAAATCAAACGACGTCTACCTACACAGTGTCTTGTTGAAAGTCTACAGCACACTCTGATCTCCACTTAACTGAGTAAACTATCATCAGAGGCGTTGTTTCTTTCAGCTAAGCGGCATCTCATCCTGGATTATCTGATTTTATGTTTCAGGACTTTTATTTACCAGTTTGCTAACTAATTATTTTTTATGTAATTTATTAAAAAACTCTCGGCTGAGTCGACTGTGGATGAAACGACCTACAAGTACCAAAGATGAGATTTTAAAAATAAAATCAGAATAATAAAATAAAACGGGTGAAAAAAAGGAACGACAGAAGGACTTGCAGGCGAAAGATTCTCTAGAGATGTGTACAATATATTCCGACACATATATACATACATTTATAGAGGTAGCAGCGTATACATTACATACATCTACGTAGCTATGCGTGTTATTATATATGTATATACATAATGTAGAGAGAGAAAAGAGAAGAGGGAGAGAAAGAGAAGAAGGCATTCGTAGCTGAGCAACAAGGAAAGAGAAATACAGTAACGGTGGCGGCGACTGTTTGTGTATCGGCTGTAAGCTTCCTTCGAATAGATGCTTGTATACGTTAAGTCTAGAATCAACGTCCATAGAAAGATTTCGAGTGACTCTCGGTGCAGGCCCATTTAATTTTTTAATTACCACACTAGTGGGTTATAATTCCCGATGGAAATAACTATAATGTTATTAAATATTAAATTTAATACTGAAGATAAATAAACGTGACCTCAGATTAATAAAAAAGGAAAGAAAAAATAATAGGAGGATCTCTTGTTCTACTTGTTCTCTCCTTCCAGGATAGGAGGCGAATAGCGGACGTCACACTGCTGTCCGTTACTTCGTAATATCAGACTTTACTTTCGCCTCTCATAGATCGCTGCTGCTGCTGCTGCTGCTGCTATTTCAACTTGTTTTTAGTTTTTTTTTCATTGTTTTTACTTTATTTACTACTGCGCTGTTGTCTTGCCTCGAAAAGTTGCACTTTTATGCTGCATACTAATAGAGACTATCTCTATCTCTTTTTAATATTACTTTTTGATCTCTCTATAAGTAATCTTTATTTTTTATTTAAAAATTTTCTTTATTTTTTTTTTTATTGTTTTTTTTTATTATTAAATATTTTATGTTAATTCATAATCCGATTAAATAATCGATAAATTAATAACTGGAATGTTTAAAAATAAAAAAAATTATTAATGTATAATTTTTATTTATTTTATAGATAATTTGAATTAAAGTTTTTATATTAATTCTTGCCTGAATATTATGCGGCTAAAGAAAATGGAGCAAACCGCTAGGTGAAAGCCTAAACTTTGAAGTGGAGATGGAATATTTGAAAGTATTCTAGAAATTTCAGTGTTTATTTGGATTTTAAAAATTTTTATTCTTCAGACAATGAAGAAATAAAATTTTATCAAGAAAGAAATAAATAATTTAATGACTAGAAATTTACAAGCATTGTAATTTCTAACCTCTTTGGTTTGACATTTGTAATGTCAACTTATTTACCAGTAATCAAATGACAGCAAACAATAACATTTAAATGAAATTAAAGTAGATATTGAATATTTAAAAAAAATGGATTTAAAATTCCGTAGTCACGCGGGCAGACTTGTACACCGTCTTGCTCATGTATTGATCAACGTGAAGCTTGACAAACCATCATACGGTGTAACTCGACGTCTCTTCCCCTCGTGCTCTTTATTCGAGTGAATATTTTTTATTAAAAATAAAAAGAAGTAAACCATTTATTTAAAAATATTCCAAGCTACTTTGTTAAAAGTTGTTGAGGTCACAAGACTGATGACTGATGACACAATGCGCATCAAATTAACAAACACAAGTAAAGAGTCTTAGTGGCTTCCAACACAATACTAACGCAAGCCCACGTGAAACTCTCAGTGAGATAAGTACTGACTGTTGTCATAAACTACCATACTCCAAGCTATGAGAGCTTTCAATGAGCTTGAGTAATATAAGAGGCACCAGTCGAGAGTTTATAATTATTTCAAGTATAAAAAGCTAATCGAGGAAAGCTGTGTAACAGGTGCCATTATTTTATTTAGGATCCTACATTTTTATATTATCACATTAATAATTTTATTTTTACTTTGACCATGACCTTTCGTAATGTAATTTATAATTAATGTATTTTTTAATTTCCAGACGGATCTATGCGGGATAAAATGGCGGAAATTCGTGTGGGGAGAGATGGCCGGTGGATCCGTGGGTACCCCCCTTGAAGATCCAGTATTGTCGAGCTTTTCGCGGTGTCTAGCAAGCGACATACTTTGTGTGTGGCGACGGGTGGCAGCCACGCCGGCTGCTACCGGTACAGGCGCAATATTTGACATGGGTATAGCACCTTCGCCTGCTCCACCACCTCTGTCGCTGTCTGCTGCTAAAGAGCTCTGGATATTTTGGTATGGAGAGGAACCCGATTTGTCGGGTCTTGTTTCACCGGAGCTCATCGGTAGCCGTAAGTATTTACTTCAATATTATTATCATAATCATTATTATTAATCGGCTGTTTCACAAGTATTAAAAAAATTTTAAATAGACGTAAATTTTTTGGTAATTATTTACAAGTGCATGGAAAGAGAAAACTGGAAAAATTACAGTTTCAGATTGTAATTATTACATATTTTATAAGAATTATATTGTAGAATGTAATATTTACATTGAAAGCTCTGAAAATTAACATTCAAAGTTTGAATTTAGAAAAATGTTATTTCGAACTGTAATTTTTCTAGTTTTGATTATGACGGGACCGATTTTACATTTTATACTGTAATTATTTCTGTTTTCTTTTTTCCGTGTGGGGTCTACCATTTTAATTTTCATTTAAAAAAAAATATCAGAAAAAGATAAAATAGAAATTTTATCCAAAAACATAAAAGCCAAAATTTTTTCCAACTTTTGAAGACAAAAAAGCTATCGAAATATTAATTTTTTGATATTTTCAATAACTCCACCATAAATCCGTCGTAAAAACAAGCAGAATAAAAAAAATTTTAATTTTTCACCTAGATATGGCCAAAAATAAGTTTGACCCCACTTGTAAATAATTATCATTTTTTTTTTTTTATACTGAAATTAAAAGATAATTTTTAATGACAAAAAAAATTTCACATGAAAATATTGTAAAAAATTCTAAATGCAATTTTTTAAACTGATCTGTAAATAATTAATTTTTTTTAATAAAACAAAAAAAAAAAAAGTGTCTTCTAATATCAGTGAAATAAATTTGTATATCTAGTTCATTCTTACTCTACCTGTGAAACGGCTCATTTGATTGGTCTGAATGTGAATATGTTATCGACCGAACTTGATAAAACGACGTACCACGTGTGTTTTGTCCAATCGGACGATGACTCGTATCATTTGAAAATAATAATTAAAAATAAAATAAAAAATTGCTTATTTTATTGATTTAATTATTTTAACAATAAATAGAGAGTGAGCAAGGCTCTTGGGAAAGCGGCCTCTCGTATGAATGCCGTTCATTACTCTTCAAGGCTCTCCATAATCTCATTGAACGTTGTTTACTGTCTCGTGACTTTGTTCGCCTTGGAAAATGGTTCGTTCAGCCTTATGACGGTTTCGAAAAGCATCACTGCAACAGGTAAGATTATTTATCACTGAATGTTACTAAAATCAATACAAGAATAGTTAATACTTAAAAATATTTGATTATACATTACACAATAATTAAAAAAAATAAAACTTTGTTGCAGCAGTCATTTGTCATTCTCGTTTGCATTTTTTGTACATGGTGACAGTACTGTTTGTGCAAGTGTCGATGTCAGGCAGCACCCCGCGGTGCGGTACCTCACTAGAGCTTGCCTTCAGCGTACTCAGGCATCTCAGACCGATGCTAAAGGTAATTGACCTCTTTAATAAATAAATAACGCTTACTGATTTATTTTATTTACTTTTTAGTGATTCTTGCGCCGTATGGTCTCGCCGGAACGCTGACAGGACAGTCGAGTCGCATTGACTCACAATTTCTCGATGAGTGGAAACACTTTTATCCGATAAACAACAACAATATTGAACCTGGTCTTCCACCTCTTGTAGAGGTGCTTGTCGGTGGCGTCAGGATGCGATATCCTTCATGCTACGTTCTCGTCACTGACATGGACGACGTGCCTATTGAATTGCCACCCTCGCCTCCTTACAGTCCCGCGGCAGCTAATTATGACTATTTGAATTACATTCAAGGCGAAAGCAAACCATCAACCGAAATGCCCGAGCGCGTTTGGGCTGAATGTATTCTTGGATCATCGTCTTTATCCACTTCCAAAACAAATGAATCTTCCGTAGAGCTTGGTACCTGGACGTTTATTGATCCAACTCAAAAGTCTTCCTGCATGTGTTCTAAGTAAGTCGCACTGTTGAGCTACCAATTGACTTTTAATATTAATCCTAATTTAATGTTTATTTATTTTTTTTCCCTATTTGTTATGGGAATAAATTACAATCATACTTAAGGACGTTCCGAGACAAGAAAAATACACCAATAGGTTATCGCTATTGGTTTCTTTCTCACGCACTAGTGCTGTCTCTCTTTACAGACTATCGCTCACTTACTTCCATTCATGTAAAATATCGAGAGTCACTAACTTCAAACATTTTTTTTTTTAAAAATGAATACCGCTCGTTTATCTTATTTTTGATAAAAAATACTTGTTCTAAGGTAAAAAACCCAGTTATTGACACTGGTCTAGTTATTGACACTTGCAATTTTATTTCAATTAAAAAAAAAGCCAACTCCAATAAATTTATAAATACAATTTGTGAATTATAAATTTTTAGATAATTGATTTTTTGAAAACATTTTATTTTGTTAGTTGGAATAAAATTGCAAGTGTCAAACAACTAGGCCAGTGTCAGTAACTGGGTATTTTACCTTATCTTAAATTAATGATTCTCAATTTTTTAACCCGTTGAGGACACACGTCGAGAAAATACTAAAAAATCGTTATAAAAAAAAAAAAAAAAAAAAAAAAAAAAAAAAACTTATGAAATTGAACTTTTTTTATGAAAAAAGTCGCAGAAATTTTTATTTTTATGATATCGAAAAAAAGCTGAGGCCATTTTATTCGGAAAACAATATATTTGAAGAAAAAAAATCAATATTTGATGAAGTTTGAAATTATAAATTTCGGTCAGTCGCTTAAAATGAGAATAAAAAATTTAAACATGCAAAATAATGTAAAAAGATTTAGTTTTTTTGTGATAAAACTTTTTTATTATAATTTATAATTATTATAATAAAAAAATAGAAATATTCTTTAAAAATATCAATGAAATCAGTCGTAAACTAGACTCTCACTTATAAATCCCCTAAATTTAAAATTTAGTGTGTCCTTAACGGGTTAAAATAATCCTAAGAAAAGTACGATTGATATTTAGTAAAACGTTCGCTTGAACGTCGGTCAGCATTGGGTTTGTATGTAAAATATACAAATTTAAATGCTAATATATCAAAATTTAGTGTCGCAAGGACTATTTAAAAAAATTCCTGCGTATAGAGGAAAGAGGATACTTATAAGTACAAGTACTCAAAATTTCAAAAAAATTTCAAGAAAACGGTTTTTTCTCGGAACGTCCATAATTTCAAAGCATTAGATACTTCAGCAATTATTATTTATCTCTATAGTTTTTTTTTTCAATTTTGCACTGTTGATTATTAAAAAGCATGATTGTAAATGTGCGATAGTGTCTTTTTAGTAATTATATATATATATATATATATATATATATATTTTATTTAAGTACGTTCATGCGTTAGTTAATGAAAAACAAACTGTTAATGAAATTTATTTTTAATAATTAAAATTAAGATTCAATATAAAGTCTAATGTATGAACGTCTTTGAAGAAGAATATGTATGCCAATATATAGAATTATTATGTGCTTGATAAAAATATTACAAATAGATATAAATTTGCATCGAAAAATGGTTTTTAAAAATAGTAGCAGCTGTGTGACGTTTATTTTTTTTTTTGCATGTAACTTTTTTATTAGAAACCAATTTAAAAAAATCTATTTCACGTCACAGTATTGCATGTAAATCCATGTCTCGATGATAAATATATATGTATAAAAATAAAAAATAATTCAATTTTACTTGAGATAAGTAAACAAAAAAATAAAAAAGATAGAAAACGAGAGGTTGAAAACGCATCGGTTACAGGTGCATAACCCCCGGGGGTTGGAAGAATCTGGCTTCCTCTCAAAATCAGAGGGAGAGAGTTGATAAAGGTGGACGAAGGGCTGTCGTACCTTTCCATCGACGCTCTACCATTCCGTGGGATGCTTCTTCCCCCTCTGTTCTTGCTAATGCCCCCAGGTGGGTATTTTGCCCCGAAATTTTATAGCTTTTTTTTTTAAATAATCAATAAACGTCGTAATCACATTTTATTCATTTATTGTAATTCACGCGCAATAACATAATTACGATTAATCATCATTGGATCATTACATATATTAATCTACATTTTAATCGACTATTTTTAATACTAAACAAAATAATCCTCAATAATCTATAACATTTAAATGCCAGTGTCATTTTTAAAATTATAAATATATATTTAATAATTAAATAATTTGCATGTTGTTATTGCATGACTTTAGTTCGTTAATTAGTCTATTTAATTTATTCATTTAAGCATGATAATAATTTGTTGTAATTTTCCAGGTGGTAGTGTCAATGTCGTTTTAGTTTTTTTAAGGCTTCTTATTGATAACTTATAGAAAAAATAATTTTTATAAAAATTTATATAATAAAAATTTTATTAAAAATATTTTCATTATTTTTTATCGGATAAAATTTTTACAAATTTTATTTTTTCATAAGCGAAATAAAAATTTTAAACAATGATACACAAAAAGAACAAGATAATACTGGATATCATTCCAGATTATACTCAGTGATATCTGTGGTAAAAAAAAATTTTAGATAGTAGCTTAAAAAATCAAAATTAGACTGGGTGATATCTGGATTATACTCATTGTAATCTAGATTATTCTAGCTACTATCTGAAATTTTTTTTCACTCAGTATAATCTAGGATGATATCCAGTATCATCTTGTTCTTTTTGTGTACATTATCATTCTAATAAAATTAATTATCATCGCTTAATCAGTCATATTCATTTGGTTTTTTTTTTTTTTAAATAATATTTGCCAATTAAAAATTAACAATTATTAAATTAATAAAAATTTTTGACATTTAGGTCGATTTCAACTAGAAACAATGATGCACCGAATACACCACCCGATGGACCACCTTCTTATTCTCGAGGCCCTCCTACCGGTGGTGACTGTCCTCCAGTACCATCTGTTGGTTCACCAAGCTCGCCAGCACCGTCACCACTTCCAACACCTCATTCAGAACCAGCATCTGTGCCGCCGTCGGTGGACCCGACGATGCCGACGTTGAGTCCTCAGCCCCCTCCGAGTCACCCTAATGCGGCTCCGTCATTGTTGCACGGATCTAAAGTCTCTGCCTGCTGTAATAGTAGTAATAGCAACAACAACAATAATAATAATAATAATAATAATAATAATAATAACAGTAATAATAATAACAATAACAACAATAGCAGCAGTAGTAATAACAACTCAAGTTCCAACAACAGTAATACTAGTAGCAGCACTGCTAACAGTAGCAATTCCATCAGCAATAATAATACCAGTAATAGTCAAGTTGTAAATATGATAACTGAGAACACATTGAAGCGACCGATTCTTTCCTCGAGAGAGTATGAAGGTGCGCTTTTGGAGGATGAACCTCCACTTTCTTGGCTATATGACTATTCTACTCAAGAGGCTTGGCTTAATCATCCGGTTAAGAGATTTAAACCATCTTCTCCAATTACTTCTCTTCATCAGCGTGCTAGTAATTTATATGCAATTACTAATTCACCGATAAATCACCCACAAATTACTAAATTTGAAATCAAACAAGAACCTGGTGTCATGATGGTTAGTATTGAGAATAATTTTTTTTTAATGATAGTAACCGTAAATATTTATTTTTATACGAATTGAAGAAATCAAAACAATATTTTTCTACGACAATCTGTAAATTTTAAGTAACTGATAAGGTAAAGTACCCAGTAGTTGAACAGGTTTCAAAGTAAAACGTATTTGACCCTACTTTTAATATATAAAAATGTAATTATTAGTTCAAATTAGTGATTTTCATGAAAATATAAACAATTTTGGATTGATGCACAAAGTAACAAAGATAATTAAATATTTATATTTTGACAACGTTTTTAAGATAGACTATGAAAGGAGTAGTAATTGAACAATCAATTCTGACAAGCCGCAGTAGTTGAACTAATAAAATATATGGCAATAGGCACTGCAAAAATTTTCAACGTTTTATTGAAATATCTAAAGAATTATAACATATTATTTAATAATATTAAAAATAATACTATGAATATTTAATATGTTTATTTAAAAATGAGAAATATTTGTATTTAATTTTTCAATTACATTTTTTATGAATGACAAAGAAAATGTTCAATTATAAATAAAAAAAAACTCAATTCAAAACGTTCAATAATTTTTAACTACACTAATTTTTAGCTATAAAACTTATTTAATTTGCAGTAATTAATACAAATCACAATGCTGATCACTAGTCTATAAATCTGTTAGAGATTAGATTGCTGTTAAAATTATACGGCTCCAGCTTGTTCAAGTTCTGGGTACCGCTTTGAAAATTTGGAGGTGTAGTTAGACGCTTTAATTTTAATATAAAAATTACAGTTTGTCTTTGCAAAAAATATGTATTATTTAAAAAAAGACTATTTCATTAGGTGGTACAATTTTTTTTTACTTAAAATGATATACCGTTTTTTTTTTATTGATTGTTCGGTTTACGGTTTGAACCTATCAGCTATTCTCGACATTTCAACTTTTAAGCTTACAAAAATATAATTCTTTTGATTTACAATTGAAAAAACTTACAGAAATAAATTACTGCATCATTGAATAATTATAACATGTGCATATTCCTCGTAATAAATATACGGTTTTAGTATTACAACAATTCTAAAAGTTCAAGTACTGGTCCCATTTTTAGTGTTCAAGTACTGAGTACTTTACCTTACTAAATTAAATAATAAAGTATAAATTTACGGTTACTCAGTCACTAATCAATAACAGTAGATTAAAAACATCTTATTTTTTTTCAGGGTGACTGTACAGGAAGTGGAGAAAGGCGAAACGGGGACAGAGAAGGCGAAGACACCGAACGCATAAGAGAAGAAGGTGAAAGAAATAGAAACGACCCCTACGAGTTTGACGTCGCCGGAGACGACGATAACGGCAGCGGAGATCACGGCGTGGTTGGAGCTGACGGTCTGAGACGCCCACGAGACGAGCCGCCAAACTCAGGGTCTCTTTTTACCAGCGAAGGGCTCCAAGTGTCTTACAAAGACCTCGATCAGATATTCGACAACTCGGATCCAGATACCTCGAGTGACGAGACAAACCTAAACCAACTTCAAGTCCAAACTCCACCGGGATCTAACAAATCCGGAGGAATGCACGAAGAAACTCGTCTGGACATAACCAAGCAAAGCAACCGTGGAGTAGGAGTTCTACGTCCTGAAGAGGTGGTGAAAATGTTTCCAACTCCACCTTCCTTAGAACACCCGGTGCCGTCTCCCTGTCAGATGAACGATACGGCGATTGACCAAACAGAACTATCAGCATCTCAGCGGTCGCATCGCCACGCTCCTGACATCTATCCAAACATGGGATCGCCTCCTGAAGAACCAATCACCGACTGGTCTTATGTTTTCAAACCGCCTACGGTTTTTAAGCTCGTCGGGTCATCAAAATACGCTCCGTTGACGAACTTACCCAGCCAATTTCTGCCTCCGATTACACTGCCTTCGCACTGCGTTTACAGACCTTCTTGGCAGTGCAATTCAACCAACAACTCAAACAGTAACAGCAGCTCTGACAAGAATTCACCTCACTCAGCATCCTCGTCAAAGTCTGCAGACAATACTCAGGATCAGCAAGAGCCATCGCAGAATCAGGACCAACCACAAACACTTCAACCGCCTCAACCACCGTCACAACCTTCTTTACCACCACCGCAGCAGCATCAGCAACTGGCAATAGCTCACCAAGCGTGTCCTTCGAGTCCAAATCCCAACAACGTCACCAACCACTATCGTACAGCAGCTGGAAGACCTCCACCGCCGCCTTACGACCAGCCAAGTCCTGCAACTTCAACTTCGTCGTACCTAAATAAAAATATAAATAGCATCGATGCTGACACACCGGGTCCAATTCGCGCACCAGAGTCTAATTCTCTTGTAGTAAACATCCTTCTTGGTGACACTGTACTGAATATATTTCGCGATCATAATTTCGACAGCTGCAGTCTTTGCGTTTGTAATTACGGGCAAAAAGTAGTTGGGAATATCAAAGGCGCTGACGCGGTTTATCTCGCTGGTGCTTGGGCAAACAGTAGTGCGCTATTTCAAGATGAGGAACAGTTAAGGTGCAATTGTGGTTTTAGTGCGGTGGTGTATCGTCGGCTGGCGACCCAAGCAGGATTATTCTACGAAGACGAGCTTGAAATTGCGGGAATCGCTGAAGATCCTTCAGAGAAGAAAAAGAACTCGTTGCTTGCTGTTGTTTCTGGTGGTGAAAGCAAACCCGGCTCGGAAGAAATTGATGTTATAACTCCAAGTGTTTTAGAACTTGTTCGCGAACAATGTGCAATCATTCAAAGTTCGGCTAGTAGTTTGTACCGTGCTGCCAAGATTTACGCAGCCAATAAAAGTTATAATTATAGTAACAGTAGTGGTAATAGCAGTAGTAATAATAATAATAATAATAATAATAATAATAATAATAATAATAATAGTAATAATAACAGCAACAATAACAGTAACAATAACAATAACAGTAGTAATAACAACAATAATAATAGTAATAATAATAATAATAATAATAATAATAATAATAATAACAACAGTACTAGTAATAGTAATAATAGTAGTAATAATAACAGTAACAATAATCATCAAAATCTCGTTCCGAGTCTTAACACACTGGAATTTAATGACGGCAATGAAGTGTCTTTGATTGCACTAGAGCAGGGAAAATTGATAGAAAATAACGCTGTGGAAAGAACAGCAAAATCTGTCGGCGTTCACCGGTGGGCCTTTATAAAGGCCCGAGGTCCTCAGTGCAACGAAGATATTCTTCGGATGATGCGGACACTCCAGCCACTGCTTCAAGATGCTGTTCAGAAAAAATGCACGACTAGAATGTGGGAAGCGCCGTATACTGTTACTGGGCCGTTGACTTGGCGTCAGTTTCATCGACTTGCGGGTCGAGGAACTGAAGATCGATGCGAGCCACAGCCGATACCAGCTTTGGTTGTTGGTTACGACAGAGACTGGTTATCTTTGTCTCCATACGCGCTCAGTTACTGGGAAAAGCTCTTGCTGGAACCTTACGCGGGGCCACGTGACGTCGCGTACGTTGTTTTGGCCCCGGATAGTGAACCTGTGATCAATAAGGTGAAGTACTTTTTTCGCGAGCTGTCGACGACGTACGAGATCTGCCAGCTGGGAAAGCACACGCCGATAACGAAGGCTTGCCGCGATGGAATAATCCGTGTTGGAAAGTCTTCCAGTCAGAAGTGGTCCAAGCAGCCGATGATCGACGACTGGTTTAAATTATTGGGCGACAATCAGTTGGGTGAACAGCTGAGGCTTTACGCGCAGGTCTGCAGTAATCGACTGGCGCCGTATTTGACTCAAGTTATTCAAGACCGGAGTTTGTTGGACCCGGATTCTAACAACAAACAGCAGTCCCAGCACTCCCACCACCACCACCAGCCGTCTCAGTCGCAATCACCGTCTGTTCCGCCGAGTGAGTCGATGCCAACGACTCCGGATGGAACCGCTATCACCGTCAAAGCGGATCCTGTTGGAGACAGTGAAGCCGCGCCAAGTGAAACTCCGTCATCTAATACCACTCCGAATGCTAATTCTACTATGGGAAACGTCACGCCGGCTATTCCACCTAGCTCTCCTTCGAATTCTATCACTGGAAACGCCACGTCGGCGATGAACCCCGCGATAAATATCAAAACCGAGCCTGGTACTTCGAGTAATATGTCAGCTGGAGCGATGAACGCGGCAAACTCGTCGGCACCCTCGTCCTCGACGGGGTCTACTACTTCTACCACGTCAACGACGGCTACCATTGGACCCGACGAAGAGGAAGTTGAACCTCCCTCTATTGTTGTTTATATTGTTGAACCTTTTTCCGTGGGTGGACCTGAGAACTCTGATCGACGACGTTTGGCTATTCTTGCACTTCTCAGGGCGTATTCTGCTGCGATCAATGCTATGCCTGAAAATTTAAGATCTAATATTAATGTTCAAGTAAGTTTCATTGAAATAAAATATTTTATTTTAATAATATAACTGGTTTAGTGATTATTAGTTCTGGATTATTACTGGTTAGGGTTATACGCACAGAAAGATTTAAAAAAAAAAAAGGATTTTTTTTTATTATTTTTTCTAAATAAAATTTTAATTGATTTAGATTTTGTTTATTTTTTGCCAAGGCACAAGTCAAATGGCAATTTTAATTACCGATTGATTACATACGAATAAATATATAAAGTTATAAAATAATAATAATAATAATAATAATAATAAGTTAGATTTATGTAAAAATATGATAATTAAATCAACAGACATCTTATAATTTTTTAGATTTTTATAATAATTAAATTATTATGAAAAAAAATTTAGTAAAAAATTCCACTTGCTTAAATTTAAAAAAAAAAAAAAAAAAAGTGCGAATTTTCAAAAGTATTTTTTTTATGTATATTGGTAGTTTTAGATATGTATATAAGGTAAAAGACCCAGTTATTGACACTGGCCTAGTTGTTTGACACTTGGAATTTTAGTCTAATTAAAAAAATAAAATGTTCCCAAAAAATCAATTATCTTAAAATTTATAATTCAAAAATTATATTTATTAATTTTCTAGAGTTGATTTGTTTTTTTTTTTTTAATTAAAATAAAATTGCAAGTGTCAATAACTGGGTCTTTTACCTTAAGTAATTGTGACTTTGAACATAAACAATTTTTTTTTTTTAAATAATTATTTTTCCAGCTTCTGTAGACAATTTCCGGGAGGATTTTTATTAACGGTTACTTACAGTGAACACGATATCTTCAGTTTGAATAATCGAAATTCTAAAATTCAAAAACATTCCGTTGATATAAGATATTATTTAGTAATTAATTGGAGCAATTATGAAAAAATCTATTTTTAACAAAATGGTAGCTTGACAAAAAAATAATATTAACTTATAGCCTTAAATTGTTTATAAAAATATAAAATATTTATCGGAATTATTAATTCTTGGATGAATTACTAAAAAATTTACTTAAAAAAAAATTTTGTAAAAATTAGAGACTGATCTTATCGGCTATTTTTGATAAATCTTGTTTACTGACTTAGAGAAAAAGGTGTTTAAAGTTTACAAATATGAATGTAAGTTTAAAAAACAAAAAACTTGCCCGATTGACATTAAATTTTCTGTGGAGATATTTAAATGTATGTAGATTACAAAAATTAAATTTATTTAAATTCTATGTGCGTATAACCCCTTAAGGTTACAATTTTTTTTTTTAATCAATATAAAATAATTTTAGCAATACTTATTATTATTTTAAAATTATAACACTGACATATAATTTAAATATTTACAGTTGATATCTCTGGAAAGCATAATAGAACTAGGACGAGCACGTGAACGACGGAAAATCCAAGACGAAATGCGTTCATTGGCATTGAACGTATTTTTGCAAGGTCGACGACTGCTGAATCACAATTCAACAGTAAAAAGTCTCACTGGTTTTGGTACCGCAGCAGCAGCCGACATATTCCTTAAAAATAAAAACGTAAGTACTTGGACCACTATCAGGACTTTAGATTTAAAGAATACTAGAATTATATTACGCATGAAATTTATAGTTTGAAAAATTTTCGAATGATATGCAGGAACTTAACAAAGCACCTTACCGCTTGTACACACCGGCGTACGTACTTGCGCCGTTACGATCTAAAAGTGAGGCGCCTGAGTCTTTCGGCATCGCTGGACCAGAAGAGTGTGCTGTTATGTACCTCAGTTATTGCCTGAGTGAGGATCAATCGCGGTTGCTCGCAGTCGCGACGGACGACCGCGGGGAAATTTTTGAGACTGCTGCTATCAATATTGATGTGCCAAATCGTAAAAGAAGAAAACGTGTATCAGCTAGACGGATTGGACTTCAGAAACTTATGGACTTTATAGTCGGTGTCATGTCGCAAGGCGTAAGTATTTTTTTATTTTTTTTTAATTTGATCATAAATTATAATTAAAAATTAATTAATATTTAAATTGTTTACAGGTGCAACCATGGAGGCTAGTTGTAGGTAGAGTTGGCCGAATAGGTCACGGTGAATTAAAAAGTTGGGGCTGGCTCCTATCTCGAAAAGCACTGTTGAAAGCTTCAAAACAATTAAAAGAACTTTGCAAGCAGTGCGCTCTTTTATACCCGTCTGCTGCACCCTGTGTATTAAGTGCTTGTCTCGTGTCACTTGAACCCGATTCGACACTTCGATTAATGGCTGATCAGTTTACACCGGATTCAAGATTTAGTCAAGCATCTGTTAATTGTCATTTATCCACACCTCAAGATGTTACTTGTACTCATATACTTGTTTTCCCTACTTCAGCTACCACACAAGTAAGTTTTATTTCAATTCACCCTTGCATTATTAATAAAAAAAATTTATTTATTTATTTATTTATTTATTTAATTATAACCAAACCCAACAGCCGTAGCCAATAACAGGGTTAATAATCTTTACAAAGTAATTATTTTAGTAATGACAAGATAAACAAGAAAGTTAAATAATAAATTCAGATTGTAGCAATCACTTCATAGCTACTCGAGTAGGTAAACATAAAAAATAAAAATAACAAAAGAAAAAAGTAACAAATTTGTATGAAGAAAATTTGAATAATTATAGACATATAAATTAAATTTATTTAATAATACCGAGACCATTGCCAAATGACAAAGTTTACAAAATAATTTTTGCAATAGTGGATATAATAATATAAAATTTAGAGTATAACGAAGATAAAAATAAAGATACTTATGATTAATTATAATATGATTTAACTAAGGTAGATGAATTGATATAATAATTATAGACATACAAGTCAATAATGATAACAATGTTATTAATATTAACACAGAGGATAATAATAAGTTATAATTTGCTAGAGACGAATCACAGTGATAATAAATGAGTTTTCATAATAATTTGATGCAAAATGCTAAAATTAACTTTATTCAAGGGAAAAAATTTTAAATTTAGAAAATTTTTTTTTTTTTAATTTAATTGTTTCGAATCAAGTAGAAAAATTTTGGTATTATACTTTAACCAAAAAAATGTTATGCTTAATTTAAAACAATAAAATTTTTTTAATGATTTTCTTGGGTCTCAATCGAATTAATTTTTTTTTTTTTAAATCATCAACGTTACTTGAACAATTATTTTTTAAATTACAGTCATCACAGACTGCATTCCAAGAGCAACATATAAATGGGCCAGAACTTGGTGATGATGAGCTATTTTCGGCCCTTAACGACGACATGAATGAAGGGATGGAGGGTATGGGAGATCTTGGGGATATTTTCAATGCCTGGCCTGAGCAAAGTGCGGGTGGTGGACAGAGTCCTTGCAATAGCCCGCATCGGCCAGAATCACCTTTGGGCGGCGATGGAGGTGGCTTTGGTATGGGAAATCATGACGGCCCTGGTAGTCCATTCCCTTGCAGTAGTACGCCAAAGGTATGTCCAAACGAATCTCGGATAAAATTTTTAAGTTATGAAAAATTCATATTATTATTTCATTAAAATTATTATAATAAAATAATTTTTTTTTTTTTTTTGTAACAAAAAATGGAGCAATCATTCTGGGATAGCTTTTTTTATTATTATTAAATTATTGTAATTTTTATTTTATAATAATTTTAATGAAATAATATGAATTTTTCATTATTTAAAAATTTTTTCTGATTACCGTCTAAATAGTATTGAAAAAAAATTTTGTCAATAAAAATTTAACTGATAATTAAACATGAATATTTTAAAAATAAAAATTTTATTTTAGACCGCAAATGCTGATCAAGCAGAAGACGTAACAAACCTTCATTTACAACCACTGGCTCTTGGGTACCTAGTATCAACAGCTCCAATCGGACGTATGCCATCGTGGTTCTGGTCAACGTGTCCTCATCTGGAAGGTGTATGTCCAGCATTTTTGAAAAACGCCCTTCACCTCCACAGTCCGGCCATACAGCAAAATAGCGACGATATACTTCAGCAGCACAGTGCTCTGACGGCTCATCCTCTTGACTCGCAATATACTACTGATGTGTTAAGGTTTGTTTTAATTCAGCACTTGAATTAATTATTTTAGAATAAATTATAATTTTTTATTTTTTTTTATACAGATATGTCTTGGAAGGATACAATGCTCTGTCTTGGCTTGCCGTAGACGCGAATACCAAGGATCGACTTTCTTGCTTGCCGGTACATGTCCAAGCGCTCATGCAGCTTTATCACACAGCAGCTGCCCTCGTCTGACCCAGACCCACTCCCCTTGTGGTGCTTTTTGCACACCTCTCTTATGCACTTATTACCGTGATAATAACACTCGGGGCTTCATGGGCACAATTATATTCTTATGCCCATAAATTTATAAATGTAAACTAGTACTTTGATGTCGATCACGATCGCATTATTACTCACAATTCGACTGATTCTTAACAGAATCTAACTAATGATGACGACTACAATCAATTTCTATACATACCAAAAGAAGAAAAAAGACACTGATATTTCAATTGTCGGAGTACTCTTTATATCGATATTATCAATATTATTATTATTGTTATTATTATTTTTTTTTTCTAAATCATCTTTGTATACTATTGTATTTCTGTTGCAGTTAGAGGCGGGAGGTGTAATAGATATTGAGTATATTATTATAATAATAAATAATATTATTATTATTATTATTAAATAAATAAACAAGAGAGGAGAGGGGAGGGGGAGAAAAAGAAGGAGGAAAGAGTACGCATAATAATTTGCTAAAATTGTTGTCTCATCGTTAATTTAGATAGTTGAATTTGAAAAAAAAAAAAATAATGATTAAAAATGAAAAAAATAAAAAAAAAAATATTTAGTAAAAAAATAATAGGGATACATAATTCAAGTGTTTTTAATTGTAAATTAAATTTTTGTACAAAGCTTTTAATTATTATTAGTGACAAAGTAATATAACATATTACGTTATTTTTTAATTTTGTATAGATAAATAATTTTAAAAATTAATATTGAAACGAATGGACGAGGCACTCTATATGTTTATAAGGTCTTGACATTCTTTTATTTAAACTTTTACAGTCTCTCCCGTAATGGTTTTTTTTTTCTTTTCTTTTTTTAATGTAATTTAATTTTTTGATTATGTACAAACCCCATGGTAGATCAAAATTAAAGAAATAATAAACAAAATATTATTATATATTAATAAAATTATAATAATGGTATTCAGACATTTATAATAACTTTTAGAAATGAATAGTGAAAAAAAAAAAAAAAAAAAAAGGCTATTGAATCAACGCCAGTGGTCTTTTGTTATTAAATTATTAAAAATTTTCCAAAGAAGAAAATTATTTGAAAGGGGCCTAGTCATGTTGGCTAACACTTTTCGATGAACAAAAACAAAAGTAAATTAATAAATGTTTTATTCGTAATAGATGACCTTTATCATAATAACAATATAATAATAATAATAATAATAATTATAATTATGTAAAATATTAATTATTTTTAAATAATTTATTAACTAAATCTTTAATTATTGATATTAGACAATTATAAGTATCTTAAAAAAATGTGGTGATTATTAAAATGACGATATTTGAAAAGAAAAAAAAAGGATAAGAAAAAAAAAGAGAGACAAACTTTTTCCTCCGCACTTTTGATTCCACGAAAAAAATCTAGAGTATTAAGGACTTATATTATTGAAAGATGTAAGGAACTGGAGTATGTTTGATAATGCAAGGGCTAAGATGGTTAAACTGCGTCAGTTACATAGTACAAATATTACTTGTACATAGAAAAAAATCCTAATCCCCAAACAGTTGGTTTTTTTATTCATAAAACCGCCCTCACTCACTTTGTAACTATAGTATTTATTACTTGGGTAGTTTATTATTATTATTATTATTATTATTGGGATTATTATATTATTATTATGAATATTAAATACACCGATATATATGTATATATATTAATTAAGACTTATTAATATATATATATATATATATATATATATTTAAAAAGAAAACAACAATTTGTAAAAGTGTTTTTGTTTATTTTTATTTTATCGGAATACGTGCAATTTTTTTTACACCAGTGTCACAAAATTTTATAAGGATGGTGATTGGTTTTTAAAAATTCTTAAATATCCGTAAATTCTTATCAGATTAAATAACGATAACACTAAATTTTATCTGAAGACAGATAAAGTTTTATCTGTAAAAACTGTTTTATTTTTGAGCATTATTATTTTGTAATTAATTGAAATCAGGATGTTGTAAATCAAAATGATGTTATGTTTTTTATTCCATTTATTTTATTTGTTTTTTTGTAAACACATAAGTGCCTGATGTCAGAATAAAACTGACTGGCATGTTAAAATGAATTGAATAAAAAACATAATATTATTTTGGTCTGCAAAATCCTGATTTTAATTAATTATACAAGAATTTAGATCTGATTAGAGCAATATTATTATTTTGGTAAATGTCATAAATATGACAGTACTTAAGGGGAGAGGTCCATGTAAAAGCCTCAAAATTGTTCATTTTTAAAAAATATTTTTAAAGATGATAAAATAATTTTATTGTTTTTAAATTTTAACACAACTTTATTGAACCTTTCTAGAGTACAAAAGTAATGTTTTTTTTTTTTTTTCCTTTCAAAACTTCTGATGCGAGGTCTCAAACTGCTCTATTTTTATCACTTATTAACCATTGATTTGAAACAAAAAAATTAAAGTGTTTTTTTTTTTTAGGACATATTAATGGAAAGGATACCTTTAAAATTAAACAAAAAATTTTTTTGAAATTTTTGGCCTCAAAAAAGTATTTTATCAACGCAAAATATCTGAAATTTTAGGTTTATCCTTCCGATAGTAATATAGAGAAAGGCCTCACTAAATTTCAAACAGTTTTTAGCAGTTTTTAAAAATACAGTTTCGAGATAATTGCGTTTAAAAATAGCTATAACTTTTGTCAATATTTGAGATTTTATTTTTTTCTCTCGTCAGTACATGCTCAACATATTTTCAGATTATTGAAAAAAAAAAAAAAAAAATTGATTTTTTGAAAATTTTACATTGATTCCCCCCTTAATAAGATAACTCTTACAATTTTCTATAAAAAAAGATCTTTAATTATTTCTTATTTTCGATAATCTTCGAAATATTTACAAAATTTAATTGTTTTTTTTTTTTATGACATTAAAGTTAGCAGTCACTTGATTATTTTAATAAATAAATTTGTTCTGAAAATTATTTTTAAAAAATTGCATATTTAATTTTTTTGAATTTTTACAAGTCAATTTTTTTTTTGCTTCAATTTATTTGTTAAAAAAATTATCAAATATCTGCTAAATTAATTTTTTTTTTTTTTTTTATTATAATGAATATTATGTTAAACAATGGTTTTAATTAGAATATTGGTATATATTAATTTATTGAATTTACAAAATTCTACTATTATTTAAAGACTTCACAATAATTTTTTTTTTTACAAATAATCATAGCATTCATAAAAAATTTTTTTAAACAGTCAAAAAATTTCAATCGCCATCCTGTAATCTTATTTTTTTATCATAAAAAATCAGCCAACATTGATTGTTCAATAGAATATTTTTCCAGCAATTATTGTGCCCTGTGTGCCGCAAGATATTTCTAAACCCGATTAAAAACATACTTAATAGTAGTTAAATGTATCACTCGTACGTGAAAGTTCTTAAAATTAATATTAGCAGCTGACTAGCATTATATTTTCAATAACTCACTATTGACATCTTTGAAAAAGTATATTGAAATCACTGATTCTTATAACTACTTATTAAAGACTAGGACTCCGTAATGCTAAGAGTCGGTTTCACGGATGGCGATACACTTTCGGTATCTTGAACCTTGTGCGTGATACCGTAGGGTCTTAAATGATAAATCAAGTACTCCAAAACATACATCATATTTGGTGAGACGTAATGAAATGACACAGCACTGTCTGAGCAACAATCTAAACCGTCCTTGGTATTGTAGTATATGTACTTCCAGTACCAGAAGCTTTTGTCAACGTGATTGGGAATCAAGTGGTGCTCTGGCACAAACGGGAAGAATCTCCCTCTTCCATGGGGGTCTCTGGTGTCCATCGCTTTTACCCCGACATTCTCTAAGCATTTTCCCATCTCGACGTCTTCGGCCCCGCCGGGATCTTGACGACACTTGGTCTTGTCTGGCAAGGCCTCTTCTATGAATTTTTCTAGGCCCGCTCTGCTGAGGACGTATCCAGCTCCACCACTCATGTAGCCTTGCTTCACAAACGGCTTGAAGCGACAGCCGAAGTACAATGGAGACAAAGGATTGTATGACGATAGCATGTACCGTAAATTCTCTACTATCACGTACCTATAATTTTTATTGATAATTATTTAGATGCTGGTTTTTGTAATAAGAAATTTTGACATTAAAAATTTTTAGCAATGAAGTTATTATGAAAAAAATTTAATAAAAAAATTCCACATGGGAAAATTTTAAAAAATTATTGGTGAAAATTTTTAAAAGCATTTTTTTATTGTTATTGATTTTTTTTAAATTCAAAAAATTGACACTTTTCAGCGAACTTCAATCATTAAATTCTATAAATTTCTAAATGAAAAAATGATACTTGTAAAAAAAAAAATGGTAATTATTTACAAATGGGGTCCACCCTATTTTTGGTCATCATATCTAGGTAAAAAATTAACATTTTTTAATTTCTTTTTATTCTGCTTGTTTTTACGGCGCATTTATGATAAAAAATATCGTGAAAGAAAAAAATAAAGATTTCGATAGCTTTTTTGACTTCAAAAATTGGAAAAAATTTTGGCTCATGTTTTTGGATAAAATTTCTATTTTATCTTTTTTTGATATATTTTTTTTTTTTAATGTACATAAAAAAATGAACAATTTAAAAAAAAAAAAGTTCAATATCACAATTTTCTAAAAAATTAATAAATTTTTTTTTAAATTTGCTAAAATTGCGATAATCAACTTTTTTTTTTTTTTTTCAATTGTTTATTTTTTTATGTATATATCAATAAAATTAAATAGAAATTTCGTTCAAAAAAATGAAACCTAAAATGATTGACCCCACCTGTAAATATTTACCGAAATTTTTAGTAATGAGATTCATCTTATAGAAAATTAATTTTTTTTGAAAAAGGTTTTAAAATAACAGTTGTTATATTAAATAATTGTTTAGTTTCACGGTCAGTGGATTTTTTTTGTGTAAAAAATTGAATAATTAATATTTTTAATTATTAATTTTTCAAATTACTATCTTTTTTAATTATAATAATTATAATTTGTACAAATACTTTTAAGACTTTTAATGTTAACCAAAATTTTGTCGACTAAAAATTGTGATATGAAATGTGTCCATCTAAATTTAGTGAAATTTTACTTTTGAAATTTTTTTCCTTTTAAATTATTCTACTTTTCATGAACTTAAAAAAAATTATGTTAAAAAAAAAAACTATACCTACTACTTTCATAGTTAATAAATATTTTAGACCATGAAACTAAACAATTGTATACCTTTAAATAATCACAACTCGACTTACGTATCGTCATCAGCTTTCATAAACCAATCGGCTTCGTCCTTATAATGTTCATAAGCGTATTTGAAAGCCTCTTTGGTTTTAGCCCATAAATTATCTCGGCCTTCTTTCACTGACAAAACTACAGTTGGCAATGTTAAATCTGCAATAAAAACATTGTAAATAAATCCTTAGCTATCAACACTAATTTTAATAAATTAAAAAATAATACCTGGTGCAGAACTCATAAACAAAAGAATATTGCAACGTTTTCCCCACGTCGCTTTCACATGTCTAGCTTTGGTTTGATGATTTTTTGGGTTAGTCATCACCCAGCAGAGGACCCTAACTTTTTTGGCCATTTCTTGAGCAACTTTGTCTTCACCTTTGTGAAAATCTTCGTCATTTCCATGGAAGGTTACGTCTACATTTGGTCCTAGCTGAATTGATAAGCAAAACAATTAATTATAAGTACCACCTGCTATCATATTATCATAAGCTTATTGATATAGTTATAATTTATAAATAAATCACCTCATTATCCAGCTCTGAATAATGATGAGGATCTCTGAGACTAGACCTTCCTGGCATCCAGTTTAAAATATGTGGCACATCTTTGGTAGCAGTAATTAAAAGACACGCTGAGAAGAATCCGAATATCATGCCTGTTGCTAACGTCAGCACGAATCGACGACCACCGCAGTGTCCTAAATATTCATCAGTATTTTATTGTAAATTATAATTATTGTCTTTCTATTTTATTAAAAATTATTATGATAAAAATAATAACAACTAGCAACCTTGCAGTCACTATGTGACTGCCGAGACTTGTGAACAATAAAAAATTAAAATTTTGGTTTATTAAATAATGAATTTTGTTAAATTGCACTGTAATTTTTTAAATATTGACGTTTTTAAAGATATAAGCTCATCCCGATGTTATACTTATCAAGAGCTTTCATTCAAGTACCCACATGCATTTTGATATATTTTTCATATATACATATATATATAATATATATAAATATATGAAAAAATGATGTGGGTACTTAAATGAAAGGTCTTGATGAGTGTACCATCGGAGTGAGCTTATATCTTTAAAAATGTCAACAGTTTACAAGATACAAAATCATTTCTTAATTATATTAAATTGCACTGTACTTTCTTAAATATCGATGTTTTTAACGATATAAGCTCATTCCGATGTTACACTCATCAAGAGCTTTCATTTGAGTACCCACATGCACTTTGATATATTTTTCATATATACATGTATATAATATATATAAATATATGAAAAATTGATGTGGGTATTCAAATGAAAGGTCTCAATGAGTGTAACATCGAGGTGAGCTTATATCTTTAAAAATGTCAATATTTCACAAGATACAAGGTCATTTCTTAATTATGTACCTAGAGATAGAGCATTGTCGAGTGCAGCCTCAATACTCATCATAATAAATTGACTATCAGTGAGAATGATATGAAACTTTTAAAAGGCACAAATTCAAATCAAGGCCTTTGCAATGACACTAAAAAAACCGATTTTATCAAATGACTATCTTGGACACAAAATTTTTCTTATTCTCTTAATAATATAGATAATTTAATCCGCTTACCATTTAATCCAGGAATCCTTTGCTGAACCATCTTGTCAATATATTTAAGTCGACTCAACTGAGGTAGTTATTCAGAGGTTTGAAACTTCTTGCTGATAATCTTCTTCACAATTCATCTATTGATAAATAATTCTTTAGATTCTTGCATTTTTTTATGAATGACCATTGTAATTTTCTAAAGAAAAAAAAAAAGTAAATTTATTAATATTTTAACAAAGTAGCTATTTTTCGTGCATTTTCTAAGATAAATAAAATATAAATACTCTTTCGATGTTCTTAAAGCCGTTACTGATAAGATATTTCTTAATATTATCTATTATTGTTATTAATATTATTATTATTGCGATTTCAACCAAGAATTAATTTAAATTCCCAGTATCAATGGTCAACATAATTTTTTTAGAATACAATAACTTACGTAACATAATGACAGAAATAAAAAATTTAATGTCGTGTAATTACTTATATGTATTTTAAGTAATTACTTTTTTACACTACCGACTGATACTATCTTTTAATTTTATATCGTATCAATGGCAAATTATTCATACATAAATATTGTTTTTTTTTTTTTTTTTTTAACTACCCGGATGTGTAAAAATAAAAAACTTTTGTTACACGAATTTTTTGTTCTAGTTTATAGTGTTGTTAATTTAGAACGTCAAATTTTATAAAGATAAAATTGTCATTAAGAATATAGCTTTAATTTTTTTTTACGACCAACTAAAATCAATCGCTGACACAAAAAACTATTTTTAATTACTTTTTTATCTATATAAAGTTCTATTTTTTGAATAATACTTCAAACTTATAACAATTAAAATCACTTTTATAGAATTATTGCCTCATAATTTCTCAACATGTTTCAAAAAATAATCTTTTGAATTTTCATATGTTCTATATTTTATTAAACATAAATATTTTCATTACTATAAAATATAAGACTTGACGCACTTGTGTTACTATTTATCTGTCAAATGGGTTTATCGTATTGATAATGCACCATATGTCTTTACTTATCTACTTCATCAAAACTTTAGAAATTAAACTATTTTTATATGTTATCTAAGCCTACTTTTTGATATTTGAACAATTTTTTATAAATTCATACACTTTCACAAGTTATAATTTTTCATCAAAAGACTTGGTTCTTTTTAATTTATAGGACGGTTCTATATTTTCAATAACAACCAACCGAGAATTTCTCAATGTTTATAAAAACAATTATCATGTTGTACAAACATTAAAATAATAAACACAGACGTGAAAGAATGCAAAACATATTTTCTGTAATTTTAATCTGCAGTTAAAAATAAGTTTTTAAATATTTGATACTGTTATCTAATTTTTTATAGAACTATTTATCAAAATTTAACTTTCTTTTTTCTTTTTGCTTACGATATTTTCTATTACACTAAAGTTAGCAGCAACTTGACTATTTTTCAATTTTATATAGAAAAAAAAATTTGTTCTAAAAAATTATTTTAAAAAAATAGCATTTTTAATTTTATTAAATTTCTAAATGTCAATTTTTTTGCCATAATTTATTTGTTACAAAAATTATTATTTAATTTATCTGCCAAGTAAATTTTCATTATTTTTTACTTACTAAAATAATTCTTGTTCAACAATATAAATTTTAACAAAATAAATTTCCAAGATAATATTATTTCTTATCACTCTTAAAGTTAATCGTTTTCGCTCTAAGAATAAAAAGAAATCATTAAACGACCTTAAAATAAAAAATATAATAAAAAAAAATTTCAATGCCAGAATAAACAAATCACAAGACCAATAATAATTAAATAAGAAAAAAAAAAAACATAAATTAAAAATTAATTACCCGTGCTATATGTTGAAGCAAAGCATAATCTGTTTGCTATCGCAATGACACAAACTCATACTGATTAAAAAGACCACTCAGCAATAATAATAAATCTGTGATATGACTTGACTGGAACAATAGTTTCGGTGATAAATATTTTTCGTGACTGATCTTAAGCCGCTGCAGACTACAGCTGTATCCTTGTTGGAGTATTTACTGCATAACCAACATAAATATAAATAATTAATTTACTTATTCACAACATGTAATCTACCGTTTAGATATTCTATAGAATATTAAAATAAAAACAATTAATAAAATACATAATACATACAAGAAAATATTTCCTAGCCAACAGCCACAGTATCATATTTTTGCAGTGACTAACGTCACACGACGTAAAACGGTTTGCAAACAACAATATATTTTTTTTCTCACATCTATTAATCAACGGCGTGGTTGCTCGCTGAATAGTTTATCGTTTGTGATGATATTGGTTGATATGCCCCATGCTTATGCCTTACGCGACTGTGTACAACTCTTTACCCCTCACTTCCTCTTGGAGCAAGTGGTCATGTAATTGTAACTTGTAACTTGTTGACATTAGTGTGTGTGGAAAAAATCATTCTTACCGACCAGTTAGTGATAATTCTTTTTCGTTCTCTCTTTTAATGCAAACTAGAATTCAAATTTTCGCGCGCAAGCGCGCGCCTTGACTATAGAGTTTACATATATTTTTATGCTTATGATATATTCGACCAATCACGTTACGAATAGTTTGATGCCACATACATTTCATCTCAATTTTATTATAGGATTGGTCGTTTGTTCAAGATAAAATTACTTATTTATTATTTATCATTTCAGGTTACATCAATGGATAATTATCTAGAAATAAATAATATTATTAGAAAAATTCTTACTTTCAATTTTATTTAATTCACTATAGTGAAAAAATTTTATCTTATCTGGAGTTTTTAAATGTTTAGTAATTAAATATAACAATTGAAATAACAGGTACCTACTTGACATTTGAGATTTTTAACAACTCATTCATAAAATAAAATTTTTTTTCATTCATGAAACTCAATTTTTAAGATTTTTAAAAATAAATCAATTTTTATAAAAAAAAAATAGCAAAAAATTTTTTATGTTTGTGAACTTTTAACAACGATGACTCATTTTTTTATAATGACTAATTGTTAAGTGCAAATTCATTTTTTTAGAAAAATTTAAAATTTTTAAATTTTAGCTGATTATGAAAATTAATTTAGCGGATACTCATGAGTAATAATTGCAATAATATTTTAAGAATTTTTGTAACAAATAAATTATAGCTAAAAAAATTATCAAGTAGAAATTTAAAAAAGTTTCAAATGCAATTTTTAAAAAATAATTTTTTAGAACAAATATGGTTATTAAAAAAAATTAAAAAGTGGTCAAGTGGTCAAGTGACAGCTAGATAACTTTAATGTCATGTTAGTATGATCAAAAATCAAAAAAGTTTGTACTTAAGTAAAAATTTAAAGATACTATAAATAAAATTTGTTTTTTAAAACATTTTCTTGGTACTAATTAAATTCTTTAAAAAACTAAAAAAATTCCAAATGTATAACACTGAAGTTTATCGTCGGCTGTCAATTTTAAAAATTTTTTTAACAAATCAATTACGATAAAAAAATATATGAGTATTAATTTATCAGATATCTAATAATTTTCAGAATTTTTTTAACAGATAAATAATCGCAAAAAAATGAGAAAAAAAAATTGACAAGTAGAAATTTTAAAAAATAAAATGACTGAAGTTAGCAGACGTCTAAGAAATTTTTAATTTTTTTTTTTAATAATTAAATTACAACTAAAACTGATAATTAAGTTAGCCGATATCTAAAAATTTTTCGAATTTTTTTTTATTGACAAAATCATTACAGAAAAATAAAAAAAAATTTCATTTGTAAAAAATTTAAAAAACTATTAGTGTAATTTTTAAAAAATATTTTTTAGTTCTAATTTAATAAATGAAAAATAGTCAAAAAATTAAATTTTCAAGTTTTTTACATGTGAAATTCTTTTTTAAATTGATTAATTGAAATGTTTTCAATGAAAAATTTCTAAAAATTTTGAAATGTCTGCTAATTTAATTTTCATAAAATAAAATGAAAAAATTATCGAGTGATTGCTAACTTTAATGTCATTAAAAAAATGCTTCTAAAAATTTTATTAATTTTCACATGTGGAACTTTTTAATTATTTTTTCTTTTATATTAATTTAATTGTTATAAATTTCTAAAAAAAATTTTAATATCTGTCGCAACTTTAGTGTCATCCAGATGTCTATTTATATTTTGTGCACTTGAAAAATAAATGAAAATAAAGGTAGCCAACATTAAAAAATTTTTAGAAATTTTTTTATTGAAAAAATTTCAATTAAACAATTAAAAAAAAAATTGTCACATGTAAAAAACTCGAAAAACTACAAGTGCAATTTTTTATAAATATCTTTTTAGTTGTAATTTAATTAATAAAAATAAATCAAAAATTTTTAGACGTCTGCTAACTTTATTGTCATGAAAAATAAACTTATTAATCAATTCTAAAAAACTCATTCAAAAATAATTTCTCAAATTTTTAGTTAATATTCCCACCGCACGGCGTTAAAGTATCTTCCAATGTTGATAAATTTTTATTATTGTCTCCTCCGAAAACTGTAATTGCATTGCAAAGGTTAACTCCGGTTAACCAACCAGCAAACATTTTCTTTTCTAAAAAATTTATTTGTGTTAAAACTAACTAAAGTGTAAATTAATAAAACAAATAAAAACTACAATTCTCAACATGTCGACGGATTTCTACATACGTTACTACGTCGGACACAAGGGAAAGTTCGGGCACGAGTTCCTCGAGTTTGAGTTCCGTCCTGATGGCAAGCTCCGCTATGCCAACAACTCGAATTACAAGAACGACACGATGATCCGGAAGGAAGCTTACGTGCATCAGTGCGTGATGGAGGAGCTCAAAAGAATCATCCAGGACTCCGAAATAATGCAGGAAGACGACTCGCTCTGGCCCCAGCCGGACAGAGTCGGCAGACAGGAGCTTGAAATCGTGATCGGGGACGAGCACATTTCTTTCACCACTTCCAAGACCGGTTCTCTGCTAGACGTAAACCAGTCCCGAGACCCTGAAGGACTTCGATGCTTCTACTACCTCGTCCAGGATCTAAAGTGCCTCGTCTTCTCGCTCATTGGACTCCATTTCAAGATCAAGCCTATATAAAAAAATTTTTTTTTTTCTTTTTTGTATTTTTCCCAAACTATTTAATAAAATCTCAATTTCTGGAACAAATTTCAATTTATTTATTATTTTTTTAATTAATTTAAGATGATATTAAATTTATTTATTCTAAATAATTATTTTTAAAAAATTGTATTATTAATTTTATTAAATTTCTACAAGTCATTTTTTTTTAAGAATTTTTTTTTGCCATAATTTATTTATTAAAGAAAATTAAAAAAATTGTTAAGTGACAGCTAAATTTATTGTCATTAATTTTAGATTATTCATTATAATTTTGCATGCTAAAAAATATATATAGTTCAGTATTGTCAGTATACAAAATGGTACAGAATATACAGCTGGTGGTATTCTATTGATTTTTTTTTTATTTTTCAGTCAATTAAGTATAAATTGATCAGAAAAAAAAACATTCCAATGGCAGCAGCGCGCTCTAATTCATGACTAGAAGTAAAAGGAGTAAAAGGTACATGAACTAGGAGTGCAATTATCTATAATTTTATGAAAATTTACATATAGAAGTTAAGGTTATGTCAAGCCCTTTTACCTAATAAATTAAAAAATTTTAAAACAATGTACTTTAACTATATTAAGTATTGTTAAAAATCTAAATAATGTAAAATTTTTTTTTTTTTTAATAAACAATTTATAAGTAATAAATTAATGAATTGAAAATAATCTAAAGTTACATTATTTTGACAAGAGTGAAATCACCAGAAACTATTTTTTAATTTTATTTAACAAATAAATTATTTACTATAAAATAATAAAAATTTTTTGTCAAAATTTATTTGTTAAAAAAAAAAATACTAAAAACGATCAAATATAATTTTTTGACATAAACTTACCTTTGTCATTTCTTGAAATTCTTTTTTTTTTACAATAAGAAATTGTTTAAATAAAAATTTTAATTGTTGTCTGACAATTAATGATTGTCAATGCAAAGAATTATTAAAGTCAGTCGGTAATTAATTCCAAGTTTTTTCCATCTCATTTACCAGAGTAACAAATATAATTTTGTCAACAGGTACACATATTTAAACCCTGCAAGTAATTAATTATTAAAATAAAATTTAGAATGTCTGAAAGTAACAAACAAGCAGAAATAAACAGTCGGATGGTAACGGACTCTGTTCATGAAAGATTTCGAGACCGATCTAGTGCTTTCTGCGAGGATTGCAAAGTGAAAATTGTCAGCAGTCTCTCAGAAATTGAAAAACACTTTAACAAAAATCATCCGTCGACATCCAAATGTGCTTACTGTCATGAAAATGTTTATTACTACACGCTAAAACTTGAAGACAGTGGGAATGAAACTTCGACGAAGAAAGTCTTCCATAGGTGCAGACATGGAACCAGTGAGCCGGAGAAGAATTAGTAATTATTATTATTATTATTATAATTGTACCTGGAAGAATACTTATTATTTTGCTATATTGCAATGATCACTCAGTTTTAATGTACGTAAAATTATTTTTGTACTGTTTATAATTTTTGATAATTTTAATATTCATAATTAACATAAATAAACAGTCTTTGGTATGATACTTATTTGTTTCAGGTTTTTTTTTTTTTTTTTTTTCAGGTCATAAATATTGTGCATTTATCCACTGAACAGAAAAAAAAAATTGAAATTAAATATATGACTGAAAGTAGCTTAAAATGGATAATATAATTGTAAATGCTGCAGTGGATTGAAATACTTGGTGGTGTATTAACTCTGTGCATTTACTAAAGGATTGGTTCTTTTTTCCAAAAATTTTTTCAACTTTGTGGGATAATCTGTCATCACCCCGGTAGCTCCAAGTTCAAAAGCTTGCTGAAACTCTTCTTCTGAATTCAGGACCCAGAAATAAACCTGAAAATGTTAATAGTTAATTACTTCTGTTGATCAATAGGCGACTAGTGAATAATTTACTTGAATTCCTCGAGCTTTTAAGTGATTAAACAAACAAGGCCTCATCAGTAACAAATCTATACTACGACAAATTATTTTTTCGTAGGATAAAAATGATGCTACTGGAGTAGATCGTCGTCTAAAAATACAAAAAAGGTTTATTATAAAATAATTAAAGGCGATAATTAAAATCTAATAGTTTGCAAATTCACCTCAAATAAATAGAAGGTAAAAATATTTCTAAATGGCTCTCTTTAAGCGGTATAAAGGGCAAAAGCCCTGTATACATAAATAAAATAAGAAGAATGACACGGCGCATTGAAAATAGCAAGTTGATACTAGGATTCTATAATAACAGAATTATATAAATAATTTTTAGCTACTTTAGCGGTATAAAAAATTCAATTTTTTTTTACTTTTAAGTTAAACTTACAGCTTTGTAACACTTGGTGGTAATTTCGTCATTGAAATTACCCCACACTGTGTACTCATGGCGGTTGTAGAGTTTTATTAACTCTGATACTTTTTCTATCAATTGATCATCGTTCATTTTTATATCAATATTTACTGGAAAGTTCGGGAATTCTTCGAATACGTCTTTCAGCAAAGGAATTTTACGTTCCTCTGGATTTCCGGATCCGACGAATTCAACTTCTGTAAAATTAAAAAAATTATTAGTTAGATGCCAATTTGTATTTAACTTAAAAATATTTTCTATTAATTTATTTAAATGTAATATTTTTAATATAACAGTCTTAATTATTTAAATTATTAGATTAACAAACTAAAAAAGGTTTTAATAATAAAATGTAGTAAATACAATCAAACTTTTTACTTTTGAAATTCAATTTCAAAAATATATTTTACAATTATAATATTCAATATTAAACTTTTAGATATATATTTTTAAGAAATGATTGAAAAATATAATTTCTCAATGAAATTACAAAACAATTAGTCACAAATAAACGAACAAATGATTTTTCTAAATAATTATTGTAATTTAAATTCAGTGATAAAAACTTTAAATTATTCTACATGCAAAATGCATAATCATGTAATTATTTACATTATTGTAATTAAATATTCAAATTTTATACTAATTAGATTTTTTACTACTTCGCAAAAATCAATGTACAATTAAAATCTACATTCCATATTTATATTTTTATAAACTGATGTATAATAAAAAATGAAAAACAAACATATAGTTTTGAAATCTTGATCTGTGATATTTCATTTTTCATTCTTTTATATATAAGTACACAGAAAAAAAAATTTCTTGACTGAGAAGAACAAAATTCTTGGCTCCAAAAAATATTCGGATGCCTGAAGGGAAGACCGAAGTTGTGTTGGCCGAAGTAAAAATTTTTTCGAAATTCTATCCTTCGTGGAAGTCATTTTTTCGTAATTCAAATTATCATAAATACTTGATACAATAAATTTTTATATTTGATCAAGATTTTTAGATACTTTAGGGAAGCAGCGCCACTTACTTCAACTGAAAAAAAAATTTTCTCACCTTGAGAAAATTTTCCCCTTGAATATTTGATACTCATTTTATATTATTTTAGCGTGCAATTATATACATATTGAATGAAAAAACAAAATGATTCAATATTATCAGATATTTCCATTTGACATGTTAATCAATAAAAATTTTAATGAAAATTTACTTTTATCTTTATATTTAATTTTTTGGAGCAAGAGGCTGAATTTTCTCAAAACAACAAGATTTTCTGACTTAAATAAATTTTTTTAAATCAAGATATGTATTTTTTAAAGCAAGACAATTAATTTTGTTGGAATAAGTGAAATTTCTTGTCAGAAAAAAAAAAACTTTTTTCGCTCAAGAAAATAATTAGGAAGAAAAATATTTTTTTGGCTCAAGTGAACCTTTTTTTTGTTATGAAATATTTTTAAATCTGTCCATTTTTATTATTTTTTCATAAGTTTTATATTAATCAAACATGATACTGAAATTAACAGACTTCTGACATTCCTCGAAATTTTTATAACACATCAATTATTATAAAAAAAAAATTAGAAAAACGGTTGACTCTAAAGGCCATCCTTGCAACTTCCCACTAATTCTGTTCCTACGCGCTTAAAATTGCACTTGTGACGTTTTTGAGCTTTTTGAGTTCAAAAATATAATTTATGTGTTATTTTAAGCTCTCCGAGCTTAAAGAGAGCTGTTCTAAGCTTTTGAGCTCTTCGAATTCTGATGAAAACTAAATTTTCACAAAACGGAGTAAAACCAATAACATCCCGAATTTTTTCTTAACTTTCAATTTTTCTTAGCGGGAAGTTAAAAATATTCTCAAAAATTCGCACTTATAATTTTGTAAAATTTTTTAATTATTTAATTGTTATAAAAATCTAAAAATTTCTTAGGTGTCTATTAAATTCAGTATTATAATAAAACATAAAAAATGATACCTGGATTAAAATCTATTGGCAATGTTGGTTTTAAAATAGGTAAATCTTTAAAATTGACTTGGGAGACATTTTTATCAACTCCAGTACTCCTCAATAAATTCTGATCGTGCGAAACAATAACTTGTCCATCTTTGGTCAACTGACAGTCCAGTTCCAACATTTGCGTGCCAATCGCCACTGCTCTATAATTAAATATAATAATTAAAATGTCCAAGCTACTTAATTTATTTTTACTCAACCTTCTAAATGCAGCCATAGTATTTTCATAGCTCTCTCCAGCTCCTAAAGTCATTAAATAATTAATAAGAATAAAAATTGTCACCATAAAAAATAATAAAAGCATTACTCACCTCCCCGATGACTTATATGTTGACAAGTGAATTTGATGTTCTTTTTTTTGTGCCAAAGTCTCGGGTATTTAAACAAAATAATAGATGTAAGAACGTACCCACCGATAATTGTGTAGAAAAACATTTTGCTAATATCATTGAGCGACTTTATGTAAGTGCTCAAGTACGCTAGCAAATAATTAAAATTTTAATCTGATTAGTTATTCACAGTTGACATTTCTATCGCCTACTGTTTATTTTGATTAAACAATAATAAAAAAATAGTTATCACAATTGACATAAAGTAAACTTGTATTGCGCATGAGTCTGTCTATTATGATCAACAGATCAACGCGGTTTTTTTAAAAAATTAATAAATGCAAAATATTTAACAATTTTAGATGATATTAAAACAAATATACAAATTATTCATTATTAAAAATTAGAAATATAAGACTTTACTTTTTATTTTACATAATAAAAGATATGAAAACTAAATTAGCCGACATCTTAAAATTTTTATAATTTGTTTTATTGAAAAATTATTTAAAAAAAAAATTAAAAGAAAAAATTTCACACACAGAAAGTTTGAAAAACTACAAGTGCAATTTTTTAAAAATATTGTTTTAGACTTATTTTAATTAATAAAATAAATCAAAAATTGTTGAATGTCGGCTAACTTTAATATCATTATAATACATATAAAAGATTTATTTTCGGTTCAAATATTTTATAATTTTTCATAGCAAAGAAATAAAATAATTATGAAAATTAAGTTAGCCGACATTTAAAAATTTTTAGAATTTTTTTTTTATTGAAAAAATTAATATAAAAAATTTAAAAAAAAATTTCATTTGTAAAAAACTTGAAAAACTGAAAGTGCAATTTTTTAAAAATATTTTTTTTTTATAATTTAATTATTGAAAAAAAAAAATCAAAAAATTAAAAACGTCGGCTAACTTTATTATTATAAATAATTTTATAAATTCTTAAAAATGTTTTCTATTTTTTTTATTAATAATATTTTTTTGTTTTTAAAAATTTTTTTACTATTATTTTACCTTAGATATTTTAAACAATATACCTCAGTATGCTCCAAATTAAAAAAATTAATTCTTATCAATGATAAAAATATTTACTGTTTTTTTTAAAAGTTCCCAGGTGTCACATAAAAAACTAAAAAACTGCTTTTTGGTAAATTTTATTTAACAAATCAAAAATTAGTAATTGTCGACTTAAATTCAACAAAATATTACCAAAAAAATTTTTGTACTGCTTGAGTTTAAATAATTTTTAAAATTGAAACGTGACGAAAAATTAAATCTACAATAAAAGTCAATATTTATCGAAAATTATGACTTGGAATTCCAGAAATTAATTATCAAACAAAATGCATACGTCGTGATTTGGTTTTTTGTTGCCGTTGAAAAATTATTTGGCCGCTAGTGGCGCTGTAGAGTTTTTCTTTTTTTTAATTTATCATTCATCCACGGGTGGCAGCACTTTCCACGGGTATTTTCTGATATTCAGCATTAAAATAAACGCGTAAACGTTATCTGGACGTTTTTACATCAAGATGTCTGCAACAAGAAAAAGTTATAGTTAAAGTAAATTATTTTACCATTTTGGATTTCTTCAGTAAAAAATTATAATATTTTTTAAATCGTAAGTTTTTAAAAATTTTTTTATTTATCACAAACAGTAAAATATTTTTATTAAGTATCTAAGTGATCCAAAAATAATTCTCTATTGTGCCATAACCTAACAATTGTCGGCGTTTATGCTTTTGTTTTAATAAAAAAAAAAATTCTCAACAATTCTAACATAAGTAATTTATTTGTTAGAAAGAAAAAATAAAATGTCGATACCGCCGTATCTGCTGGGGCCCAACCCATGGGCGACGATGCTGGCCCAGCAGCAAGCTCATGCCCAATTAGCAGCAGCACAAGCACACGCTCAAGCAGCGGCCCAAGCAGCCCATCATGTTCATGTGCAGGCGATGGCCGCGGGCCCTCCGCTTCCTCAGATGCCAAAACAGCCAGAAGTGTTATCCGAAGAAAAATTACAGGAAAAAGCGCAAAAATGGCAACAATTGCAATCAAAACGTTTCGCGGAAAAAAGAAAGTTTGGTTTTGTGGATGCGCAAAAAGAAGACATGCCTCCGGAGCACATCAGGAAAATAATCCGCGATCATGGAGATATGAGTAGCAGAAAGTATCGGCATGACAAGCGTGTATATTTGGGCTCCCTTAAATACATGCCCCATGCGGTGATGAAGCTTTTGGAGAACATGCCGATGCCCTGGGAGCAGATTAGAGACGTCAAGGTTCTCTATCATATTACTGGAGCGATTACATTTGTCAACGAAATTCCTTGGGTGATCGAGCCGGTTTACATTGCACAGTGGGGTACCATGTGGATCATGATGAGACGAGAGAAGCGCGACCGACGGCACTTCAAGAGAATGAGGTTTCCGCCTTTTGACGATGAAGAACCTCCGCTTGATTACGCTGACAATATTTTGGATGTCGAGCCTCTGGAAGCTATTCAAATTGACCTTGATTCTGAAGACGACAAGCCTGTTGCTGACTGGTTCTACGAACACAAGCCTCTTGTTGGTACTAAGTAAGTTTCTTATTCATCATTTATTTTATAAATATTATTTATTATAATTTGGAGAAAAAATTGGTAAATATTTACAAGTGAGGTCAACCATTTTATTTTAATTTTTTTTTTTTTAATCACTAAATTTATGTGGACACATTTTATATCACGATTTTTGGTAGACAAAATTTTCGTTAACATTCAAAGTCTTAAAAGTATTTTTACAAGTTTTCATTATTATCATTGTAAATTTTTTGTAAAAGATAATAATTTGAAAAATTAATTTTTAAAAATATTAATTATTCAATTTTTTTACACAAAAAAAAAAAAATCCGGTGACCGTGACACTAAACAATTATTTAATATAACAACTGGTATTTTAAAACCTTTTTTAAAAAAAATTAATTTTCTATAAAATGAATCTCAACATTATTAAAATTTTATAAAAATAAAGTTTGCCGAAATTTAAAAATATTTAGAAATTTTTTGTTGAAAAAATTTCAATTAAACAATTAAAAAAAAATTGTCACATGTAAAAAACTTGAAAAACTATAAGTGCAATTTTTTATAAATATTTTTTTAGCTGTAATTTAATTAATAAAAAAAATCAAAAATTTTTAGACCTCTGCTAACTTCAGTGTCATAAAATTTTCGGTAAATATTTACAAGTGGGGTCCACCATTTTAATTTTCATTTTTTTGAACGAAATTTCTATTTGATTTTATTGATATATTTTTTTTTTTTTTTTTTTAGTTAAAATAACTATAAAAAATTAAACATTTAATAAAAAAAAGTTGATTATCATAATTTTAACAAATTAAAAAAAAAAACTAACAAATTTTTTAGAAAATTATTGTGATATTTAACTTTTTTTTTTAAAAAATAAACATTTAATAAAAAAAAGTTGATTATCATAATTTTAACAAATTAAAAAAAAAAAAAATAACAAATTTTTTAGAAAATTGTGATATTTAACTTTTTTTTTTTAAATTGTTCGTTTTTTATGTACTTTTCAAAAAAAAAAAAATATATCAAAAAAAGATGAAATAGAAATTTTATCCAAAAACATGAGAGCCAAAATGTTTTCCAACTTTCGAAGGCAAAAAAGCTATCAAAATCTTTATTTTTTTCTTTCACGATATTTTTTATCATAAATGCGCCGTAAAAATAAGCAGAATAAAAAAAAAGATTAAAAAATGTTAATTTTTCACTTAGATATGGCCAAAAATAGAGTAGACCCCACTTGTAACTAATTACAATTACCAAAAAATTAATGATCAAATAATTTTTCTCTTCAAAGAGTTAATGAGTCAGAATCAAAGATTTGATTTATTAAAAAATTTATAGTAAAAATGATGACAAGCGTAGGGGTCCTGAAACCAACCGTCATGTGAGTTGGCTGCTGTGATGTGACTCGTGGCTTGTTTTTAACAAGGCTGTGAGCGTGTCACGGCAGGATCAAGCGCTAATCTGACTAAAAATTCTCACTTAAATAAATTGAATTTCAAACTCAGTGACTACAACCTATTAATAGTTAGTTATTATCCGATTTCAGATTTATCAACGGGCCAACCTACAGAAAATGGAACCTGTCTCTCCCTCAAATGGCGACTTTATACCGACTCGCCAACTCCTTGTTGACGGATCTCGTGGATCAGAATTTCTTTTATCTCTTTGATCCAAAATCCTTCTTCACAGCGAAGGCATTGAATATGGCGATTCCCGGAGGTCCTAAATTCGAGCCGCTTGTAAAGGACTCGAATGCTGCGGATGAGGATTGGAATGAATTCAACGACATCAATAAAATTATCATCCGTCAACCGATTCGTACTGAATACCGAATTGCATTTCCTTATCTCTACAACAACATGCCACACTTTGTTCATCTTTCCTGGTAAATATTTTTTAATTACTATTTATAATTTATAAAGTAAAAAATTAATTTTTATTTATCTAACCACGTATGTATAAGGGATTAATCGACAAGCATAGATTGTCTCAACCTAATCGTGGCATAAAAACGGTTGTTGTTATCTGTTTATCTAATAAGACATAGAGAGACGGCTGAGGCTACCAACAATTATATTTTTAATATTAATTTTTATCCATAATTGTTTTAATCAGGTTCAAAAGAATATATAATTCTTTTCTCACAAACGCAATGTTGACAATTTCTATTCCATCTTGCTGAGGATCTATGGAACACATACATGTAAATTATATTAGAATATAATTTAAGGTAGTTTGGTAGCCAAATGACTTACACTTGATTCCATATTCTTTTATATTTATTCCAAAGATTATGATGAAATAGATCTTTAGACAAAAAATCAGATTTTTTACCACATTGTTTATGAGGACTTGTAAAAAATTAGCAAACTTGACCTACCAAAAAAAACTTTCCAATAGATAGAACGATGTTTCATATATATTCTATCAAAATTTTATAACGATTTACCACATAGTTTTAATTAAATTAATTTTTTAACATTCTAAATTGGTTTCTATCTTTGTTGTTTGTCGGAGATGTTACTCCTCCAT